AATTGATCCAAGAGACCGCGGCAGAAGATTGTCACAACACACAAAATCGCGGAAAAATGAATTTTATGATTTGTCTTTACAAATCGTCAATTTTCAGACTTGAAATCTTCTCAGTTTCAAGATTTATCTTGCCAAATCATGAATTGCCAATGTATGGATTTGGCCCTCAGCTGCCAATTTTAGAAGTTTTAGGCGTTTTCACTTTGAAAACGTAGCAAATGTTTTCCGTCCAGACTACCCCGGAGAAATTTGAAAACGCAATAATCACCGGCCATTTTGGATTTGTGTTTGAGGAAAACTCGGGCAGGGAAATCATGGGAAGGGAAATTTAGTACACGCTAAAACGAAAAGCCGGCGTTTTCAAATTCCTCCGGTTTGAAGGGCTCCGTTTTCGTGACGGATTAGTGTGGACGATAGGCCTAACCGTAGAAAAAAAGCTGTGTTTCCAATTATTTTCTCCGGCGTAGTGTAGAATACAGGGCCGTAGTCAAGATCTGGCTGACTGTAGAATGTTGAGCTGTGTAACCGCTCCTCCAGTAGTTTTCCAATACTTCGGTCGGATGAATCACGTTGTCAGTCGCTTGAATTAAAATAGAGTTGCGTTCTCGAGTTTTGGCTGGTTTATTGGCTCTAGAATATTACACCGACCAAACACTGAATTTTGAACACTTGGATTTGACTTATCAAATCTTTTTTGAGCTTTGAACTTGCTCAAGCTACAAGTGTTATGCCAGCATTCAATTCCAAATGAAAATACCAAACATTAGCCACCGTCGTTCGCGTTCTCAAAAATACGCAAAATTTTGCCATTTCACGTTGTTGTTTTGCAGAGGACGGCAAAGAAATGTACAAAGATTTATAACGCACGTGCACAGCCATTTTTCAGCTCATTAAACCTTTTGTTCGGTGACGCTCTCGTAAAGGCGTCGCCGTCGTGGTTTGCAAAAGCTAGAGGGTTTATCGAGCGCTCAAAGAAACCAAACGTTTGCCATCCATTTGGTGTGCACACACAGAGGAAGACATGTGATCCAGGTGCTTAAATAAACCTTTACCACAAAACAGACCGAGCAGAATCAAAAGTAAGTTAAGTAATTTTAATGATAGCACTTTACAGGTGAGATCCTCTTCGCACCGTTCGTTGTATTTATGACTAAATTAACATCAAATGAATTTTCTTACAAAATAAATACTTATTTACTGCTGACGAACATAAATTTAAACATCAAAACCTTTCATATTGTTCTCTTTATGATAGTTACAGCTGTACAACTAGTATAGAGAATGCGTTATTCACTATTTACGAACAATGAAGGCGAATTTCTATTTTTTTTTCTACAGACAAAAACTGGACACTAAGGTCACAACATGGGTGACAATAAGCTCATACAGCTTATACTTTAAACTTTATTTTATACAGTAGAACCCTTTCTTACGGCCATCTTGTTTACATGACTACACTGTTAGCACAGCAACTTTCTCTTGTCTAAAAGAAAAGCTCAACTAGTCATTTTCTTGCTTGAATAATTCCTTTTAGACCATCAGATATTTGATGACCCGTTAAATTGTTGTGTGATTGTGTGTGTTTTAAAGTCAAGTCTCATAAAGTTCTTTTACAACATACAACGAAAAAATATATTTCGTGACCCGTTGATAGTCGCAAAATAAAACGAAGAAATTTTCACCTCAGCATTTCTTTACATTGCGAACTCTGGCCAGAAACACAGTTCATAAGCTTTTTCAAAACACATTTGTTAAACATTTTTTTAAATACATTTGTACTGTTGTCATTTTAATACACAAAGACACACTACTAAAGTAAGTTTACCAATGGAAGAAACACTGAATATAGATCAAGTCTCACTTAATATAAATCCACCATTGGAAAAGCCGTAGTGATTTTATAATGGTTCCAAACTAGGCACATTTTGTGCAACTGTCAAGGAGGAAAATTTGATATTAAGACATTTAAACTAAATATAATAAATGACAGTTGCACAGGACAATGCAAACCGTTCTAGAGAAACCATACTGTCATCACTACAAATTTTGTTAAGAATCTTAATTCTTGGATTAACTTTATTAGTTAATTAAACAAAGCTAAACAAAATACTAAAGGTTTAAGGTAACAGAGTTGCCAGTTTCAAATAACATATACACAAAACATTTTGCAGCAACGTAGGCATCCCCATGCAACATTAATGAACATGATAATTACATTATATCAACTGAAAGAAGAGATTTAGTCACTTTCACAGGATGCCTTTGTGTTTTTAAAAAACGTATGCAAGAACTATCTCCTTCAAGTGAACCCAACTGATCCAGTGCACAATCATTTTTACCCCAAAATGACTGAACAAGGTTAATTTAACAAAAATAAAAGATAGTTAAAATTTATCAGTATGTTTCAACTAAAAAATAACTGACTTTGTTTAGCCATAACAATTTTTCCTCTTATTCATGTTAATTTGATAACTTTTGGGTGTGTTGGACAAGGTACACCCTTTCAAAAGCTAGACACGTATGGGTTTTTAAACCGTTTTGGTCTGAAGTAGGGTTTCGTTTGCATGCTCTTGTCTAGTTTTGATTGTGGTCATAGAAGAAACTAATTTTTCCAATTAAATATTGGGCAATTTCAAGTCTTTTTACAATGTTTATGCAAGTAAAAGCCATCCCAACTTCATCAATTTAAAAGTATGCTGATAGCGCATTGGTCGATTGTTTAGATATCTTGTGTTAGTATTGGTGCTTCTTTAAAATTTAAATAATAATAGGAAGGGAATTTTTTTCAGGTAATACAGGTTAACTCGTGTGAAACGCCTAGGTGTAACATATTATAAATATCATTTTGCACTTAGTACTACACACAATAACATTTCAAAAAAGCTACTGACAACATCATATATGTTGAAAACTAAATAAGGCTTTTATCAANGCCCTTGGCGGACGATATGCTTCACATTTTGCACATATTGTCCATTCATTTTCATTCTGAAACAGTTCAAGAAAATATCAAGCTCTTTATCTAAAAGTTAATGTACAAAAAGCACAGCAAGGAGGAGTTACTGTAATAAGTAGTTGTGAAATTTCAACCATGACTAAAAGGTAGACATCAAAAACATCTCAGCTTAGTTGTTCAAAACATAGATAACACTGTCAAGTGGATAAGTCACTGTCCAGTGGATAGCGCATTTTTTTTTTTGACATTTATCCACTGGATCGTGATTTATTAAGCTGATAGCATTATTCATCTTTGAATTATCAGGTCCGGAGGCTTCACTTAATTCGACTTACTAAACTCTTTTATTCTGGGAGTTTACCTGAGTTTGCATAGTTTTTGCTTTATTTATTTCAGAGAAATCAAGACTTGTTGAAGGTCGTGCTACCACACCTAAATTAAGGTAAACAAAACAGATCAATTGATGGGGTGCATGGAATTAAGTCCTAAGTGACTTCAGGAAAATTTTGAGGTAACAGCATTGAAATACCTCACTGCAATTTTCATGGTTTGATCCGGTTTTCATACTTGTCTAACAAAACCTCATACAGTGTAATTACAGGTCTTTTTCAACAAATTGTTTTGTTCCAGAAAACATCCATGGATTCCCCTCCCATGCAGGGGTTTTTGGTTTGAACCTTCCCATCCCTCTGGAAATTCCAGTTTTCATTCATGCTTTTCTTTAAAATAATATTCCCTCCCTGCCCCCTCCCTCTTGGAATTCCCAGTGACCCTCGTTTGGGTGGGTATGGATATTTTCTAGAACCAAACAATAGTGAAAGCTAGAACAAACAATTGCTGGGAAGTATATCAATGCTGGTTATCCTGAATACATGTACTTCAAATCAAATCCGATTATGCTGGCTGGCAATCGTGTTGGGATTTATTGTAACACTAATCAAAGGAGTCTCTCTCTTCCCTTTTTCCCTAATAATATCATTAGCATTTTACTTTCAATTCCAGCATCCTAAGAACCATTAAAAGATCTACTGACACTGCTTTGGGGGAGAGGTAGTGGTGAAAGGTGGAGGTAGTGAGGAGCTATTGTGGCCAGCAACAGCCAAATTCATATTTAAAGACATAAAACTAGTTACATGCAGAATTCTGTTTGACAGAGTACCTTCTAATTATATGGATTTAAGGACGGTAAACTGCCTTAAAGATCATGATTGAATCTTATTCTGATTTTCACATCCAGTATGAATTTAAGAGAGTATTCCATCTTAGACCAGTTTTCTGTTCCAATTTCTCATCAACTTGGACAGAAAAGTAGACAAATAAATTTGAGACAGGAAACTTGTCTTTTACTGGATTCCTTTCAGACAAGTTTTCCATCTGAAGACAAGTTTCCAACTGGTCCAATATGAATTTGGCAAATGCCTGCTGTAAAATCACACAAAGAATAAACATGCTCCATCTCACCTGGATCAGAAAACGATGCTCTGATATGAGATATTGCAAGAAGAAGAACAATCACATTGAATATGCAGACATGTAAGCTGCCCCAGATGCTGCAGGGTACAAAAAGAAAGATACAAAATACACTGTCAGTAACATTAAAGATTGTGTAATATTAACTATTATCAGGTCTTATTTATTTGAAACGTTAGTGTGTTAATTAGTCAAAAGTTAGATACAGAGCTTTATTTTTAGACTGTGAGCGAAAAGTCAATGAGATACAGGCAATTAAACTTTCACTCACAGAAAATAAGGGTACTGTACTTAAGAAATAGAAAACATGTACATGTTTCTATCGAGTTATAGAAACACGAGTGGAAGTTTGGGAGAACGAGAAATGCTGTGGGAACATGAGCTGCAGGCGAGTGTTTCCACAGCTTTTTTGAGTTCTCCCAAACTTTCACGAGTGTTTCTATATCTCGATAGAAACACGGAGAACACATTTTCTATTTCTTTTAGAAAACAGCACGATGAAAAAAAGGAAAACAACTTCTTAACTTCGATTGTCAAAGTGTAAATTCTCTTTGCTCATGCATCACCATGTCAGCAGTTCATGCTAGTTCTGTATTTCTATCAAGTTTAAGTACAAACCTACTAGGGGTCTATCACGAATGCCGTTCTCTGATTGGCTATGCTACTCACTATCTATTCTGTGATAGATAGTGAGTAGCGTAGCAGTGAGCCCTTGTTAACAAAATGATGGCCGCTTCTTAGCATTTTCGAAGTGTCTGTGAAGAGGTTTTAGATAAAAGTTTGGATGAGGTCTTCTCGATTTCTATGCGTGATAGTCGACTTGGGCTGCACCCTCGTCAACTATCATGCGATAGAAATCTCAAGCTCATAATCTAATTGTTTAGTAGAAACATGATTTTTAACCAATCAATATGTGTATTTTCTTAGGACTGTTTTCTAAAATATAATAATGATTTCTAGTAGACAGTACATGTATATACAGGCAGAAACCTTACAATACCTTACAATTTTATAGTAAAGAGAAATTTTTGCTTTCAAGGGCAACATACGCACATGGTCATGTTGCATTAGTGCATGGAAATGATGCGAGAACCAACCCGATTTGAAGATTCCCAGCAAAACACACGGATCGCCTACTAACTTACAATACCCCATAGTTGAATAAATGTAGCCTGAATGGTATTCTTCATAATAAATTTTCAAGAACACGATATTGGATTATTTTTATAACAAAACTAAACTTAACCAAACTGGCATCATATGTAAATAGTTTCCAATATGAACTTGAGCAATATAGTTAACCTAATATGATCTATGATACATTCAATTGCATTTCACAATTTAACCAGGGAGTTCTCTTAGAGTCATGAGAATTAAAACATATACTAGCTTACAATCCTGTTACACTGCCAAAGGCCAAGTGTAAATGGTAAACTTAAACTAAGCTTATACGTCTGTTAAATCCCTCTCTCGACTATTTCAATGCAGACAATACTTTTTCCGAAGCAGTTTTACCAAAGAAGACATATATTCGACTCTTCTAAGAGGACAAAAGCATAAAACTTAGAAATGTTACAATCAACAGTACGATCACCGTGTTATGAAAGCGAATATATTAGCACAGTTTACCTTTCTGTAAGGGTTGGACGAACGACGTGTTGGACAAAACAGTAATCCGCGTATAACACCGCAGAATAAGTGAAGAAAAGACAGATAAGTCCGCAAGGATCTTTATGAAACACCGCCATATTTAAAATTCTTATCAATTCGTCCCCAGTCACAAACAACTTGACAGCAAACATGGCCAAAGCATCTGGTGACGTCATATGCCCAAATAACTTACTTTCCTGCACTTCCTTGTAGTTTTCATTGTAGTTTTCTAACCTAAAACTAAAAAGGGTTAAAACTATTTACATTTAGCCACCTAAAATCTTAATAAAGATATGAAATGCTATTTCTCAAACTGTACTTGAAAGATCAGAAGTAAGTTTTGCAGCTTTTCGGTCAGAAATTTCCAAACTAATTTTTGGCCTCATTTATTTTCCTTTAAACTAAGGAATAATCTTTTCCTCGAGTCTCAGAGGCTCCACATACAGACACCTTATTTTAAATCAGAATTTTCAATCTTTGGTTGAATTTCTTTCTTGTTGTGTTACCATTTGGGTGTTGTGTGACACGCGTTTTGTAGACCGAGAGGATTGGTTCGAGCTTAGTTACAAGATGGCCGCCGAGTCGGATTCCTTCGGACGGCGTCCGCTTTTCCTCGTTGTCTGGAAGCTTTTTCGATCAAGAATCGTTCGATAAATTTCATGATGAATTACAGAAAGTAAGTTATTAAAATTTGTCTTCTGTATTTCTGTTGTATTATTAATGAAGGTTTATTATTCCTGATTACGCACCGGGTGAAGCTCATCAGTAAACGATCTTAGCTACAGTTGTAGCTACGTAGGCATATGATGTAGGTTATGAATACAAAAGCTCATTTATTCTAAGTCTTATAAATCTTTGCTGTGTTCTAGTAGCCCGTATAATCCTTGAACAAAATGTGTTTTTCCCTTTTAACGTACGACGCCGCTTCAAAAGCTTTCTCTTAACAAGCTGGAAATAAACGCATGAAGTGTGTAAACAGAACTCTCGAGCTAATGATCAAAGGATCGTAACAGGTGTCAATATTGGTTTGTTTTATTTCAGAGCTCGGTTATGGCATCTGTTAGTTTTTAAGTTAAGTAGCTTCAAGGACTTTGGTATTATTTTGGCTTTTTATCATCCCTCGTGAATGGTTAAAACATAAACTTATCGTAAGTAAGAGTTAAACTTATACAACAAACAGCGGTCTACATGTAAGATATAACCTGCTGTGGAGTTGTTAAGTTTTAGATCGGTTTTCCTACAAGCTAGTCATCACTCCCTTTCTGAGTTCGGTGTATTTGTACAGCAAAACGGTAAAACTTTTAAGGTTTTAAAAAAATATTTATTCCAGGTTGCTTTATTTTAGATCCAACAGCTGATCAGAACAACGACATGTGGCAAGCAGTAGCTTTTCTTGTTGTGGTCAATGTACAATTTAATACAGGTAAGATGATTTATCTAGGGCATATTGATAATGGAAAAAGTCAGGTACCTGTAGAGTGTTGGTGAAAAAGTTTTTTGAAGCTATGCAGACTGCAAGATCAACTTTTAACCCTGTTTTAAGTTTTAACCCTGTAAAGGTATAGGACCATTTTTATTGCAGCAGAGTTGGTAGGTAAACTCCCCCAAATCTCCCCATCTATTGACACTGTTGAGGCTGATTTGTGTAAATTTAAACTTGCCGATTTGATTTTTTTGTATTTTGGAGTGGCAGTTTCTGGTTTCCTTACTCTAGATAAAATCTTCAACCAACCAGTCAGTTTTGTGAAAAATGATACCCTATTCTAGACCCAAACGCTCTGATTTATATACCCTATCCTAGAGTAAACTGCTTGAAAACCATACCCTTCACAGCGGCACATTCCTATATAGCCCATATATGGCAGTGCCCCCCTGGGGTAGGTACTGATCTGTCCAAAAGCAGTGCTTGCTTGCTTGTTGGTTGTATATTCCATGTACTCCATGTTTGACCAATCAGGAGTGGTCTACCTTACACTGGTATGTTAGCCTTCATCCTGGATGTTTATCATGCTCTCTTGACAAAGGGCCTGACTACACACTAGGCTGATCAAATTTGTTTGGCCCTGCCAAAAATCTGGACAAAAATTGTCTCCATCAAATGTTCAGTTTGCTAATCATGGGCACACTCAAAATCAGTAAAATATTTTTGAGTGCCTATGATTATCAAACTGAAAATTTGATAGAGATAATTTTTGTTGTGATAAACAAATTTTGTTTTTGCTGACCACAAAGTGTCAACCAAATGGCAAGGTCAAAGACAAAAGAGAGATCAAAGTGAGATCAAATTTACTTGATTGACTTTTTTCTTCCAATCACAGGGTTTAACTTGAAAAATCTTTGAGTTTTCACACCTGACAAAAATTTGCCCCCACTCCAAAGCGGGATGCTGTTAGGGAAAAAACACTGTGCGCACTTGTATCATGGAAGTGATGACAGATTTTTGCACAAAATAAACAAAGCTCATCCAAAAACTTAATTAAGAATTGCCATAATTGGAGAGAGCATTTTTGTGCATTTTCAATCTAACGTAGTACAAAGTAGTTACATTTACTACATTTTCAGGTGCTGGGCCAACTTTTCTACGGGAACCTACTTTTAAATCTGCCATCAAAGGAACTACAGCTACTTTTGACTGTCAAATAGATGTCTCACAACCCAGCTACCACTGGCAAAAAGATGGTAGTAACATCACTAAAGGCAGCATCTCTCTTTCTGGATCAGTGTCATCGTTGCAGATTGATAATCTGAAGTTTTCTGATCCTGGGAATTATTCCTGTATAGCTACAGACAGACAGTCGGGTCAGAGTGGTGAAAGAACAGGGACGTTAGTTGTCAAAGGTATTGTGTTATATTAAAATTCTTTAGAGAGTGCAATATTTTTCAGGTCAAAAGTAGTGTGTTTTGTGAAGTGAAGTAAGAAAGCATGAGTCGAGGGACTAATCGGCTGATTGACTGATTGATGGCTGGATTAATGGATTAACTGATGGAATGAATGACTGCTAGACTGCTAGACATACTGAATATTATAAATGATTGTAATGGTTGGCTGACTGACTGGAGGACAAGCAGACAGATGGACATAGACAAACAGACAGACAGACAAATGGACAGACAGTCTGAAAGCTGACAGACAGACAAATGGACAGACAGACAGATGGACGAACAGACAGGCTGACAGACAAATTATATCATTGTCACTGAAAATCCCTCTGTAGGGAGTGTCAATAAAGTTTGTATTGTATTGTAAACTGTAAATAAGTGACTGCCCAATCTCACTTACAGACAAGCAGACACAACTGGAGGAATGCAGATTGATTTATTGATTGACTGACTGACTGACTGACCAACTGAGTGAATGACTGACAGACTGATAAACTGATCCCAGGAGGGGGTACTCAAGTATATATGATGGGAGAAGGAGGGGTCTGATGGAGCTTTATATTGTGAACCCGAAAAAATACATGAGCCTGAAATTTTACACTCCAAAAAAATACCTGGCATCAAAATTCCTACCCAAAAATTAATTTTTTCATTCACTGATCGCAACAAAAATTTCACTCAGAGATTTGTAAACCCAAAAAAATATTCGTAGTTTTTGAAGAGCTAAAAAAATATGTGACAGATCTCTTGACCCAAAAAGATACTGAGGGTGTAAATTTTCAACCCAAAAAGATTTGTCGGATTCCCCGTCATGTATACTGTGAGTACGTCCCTGGGAAATTGATAGACTTACCAAATGAATGATCGATTAACTGACAGACAGACATAAAAAAAGGCAGAGGTAAACAGAAAGACAGAGAATGGCTGACTGAGTGAGAGGAGGACTATCAGACTGACTGTGTGATTGTTCTTTTAGGTAAGCCAAGTATCTTGTTTAAAGCACCCTCACCATCATCAACCTATGTTGGACAGTCTGCTGTATTTCACTGTGTCGTTGCTGGAGATCCAGACCCTGTTGTACATTGGGAAAATAGCAGCAACTCAATCATTACCAGTGGTGGAAGGTTTGAGGTGTTCAGCAATGGCACCCTAGAAATAAACAATTTGCTGAAGACTGATGATGGGAGCTTGTACACTTGTGAAGCTGTCAACTCATATGGTACCACAGCAGCAAGCGCAACCTTGCGTGTCAATGGTGTGTGATGTTCACTTTGTAAAGAACAATGTTTTGTATAATCAGTAATAATGTCATGCTAGTAAAATATGTAACTTCCTCAATGTGTGAAGCTTCTAGCATGCCTACAACTGCAAGGAATGCTAACTGAGGGCACACACCAGATTGAACTGGAATTTGGAGAGTTGTACTTTCAAGAGGAGGAAAACTGGAAAACCAGGTGAACAACCCACAGACTAGGGACAAGAATCAAGACCAAACTTATAAGTTATCACAGCCATGCAAAATTAAAGAAGTTTATGATTTATATAATGTATAATTTATTTCTCTTGAAGATCCTCCTGTTCCTCCATCATTTACTACAACACCAGTCAACAAAACTGCTTTGGAAGGAGGACGAGAAACATTTTACTGTGCTGCTGATGGAATCCCCCCACCAACGATCACGTGGAGCAAGCTAGGTGGGATCATCACTGCTGATCGACGGGAGGAGCCTTCCCCAGGTGCGCTAAGGATTGTCAATCTTCAGCCCGAAGATGATGGCACTTACATCTGCACAGCGAAGAACATCCTTGGAAATATAACATCCCAGGCATTCCTGCATATTGAAGGTGATTTTATTGTGTGAATATTATTAGCATTCTTACTGGGGTCACCAGAAGATTACTTTTTGTTTCATTAGTTAGGAATTTGGGGTCATCTGGGGTGGATACAGGATTTTAGAGAAGGGGATTTGAGATAAGGACTGCCAAAGGCAGTCTCCTGATAGGGGTTCTCAGGGCATCCTCCACTGGGAAATTTATGAAATTGAGGATTTCCAGCATTCTAAGACCAAGTCAGCGTGTTATAATGTCTCAATTATTTTTAATTTATGGGGTTGGACTGAACTCACTGAACACCCAGATCTGCCCTGGATTCATTGCTATTTCTGTAATGACCTTTATCCAGGGATTCATCTCATGTATGCACATTAATCTCATGTCTGTTTTAATTACTCTTTAGGTTATCCCCGCATAACAACAGCACCATCAAACAAAGTGGTCAGAGAAAACTCCTCCGTCCTGTTTTCTTGCATCATTGAGGGTACTCCCATCCCCCATGTAGAGTGGACCACACCTAATGGCACCACAGTTAGCATGCTTTCTCAGCCCTCTGGCACTATAAGAGTACTTTCAAACAATTCTCTGCACATCACCATGGCAACAGAAAGTGACGCTGGAAGATACACTTGTAAAGCTGTGAATAATAGAGGAGAGCGATCTGCCTTCGCTATGTTGACTGTTCAAAGTGAGTTTCTTGTTTGGAGTGAGCTGAGATATCTCAGTTTATTAATATTATACCTGTAGATTGAAACTCTTTGTTAAGTTAACTCTTTCTACATACCTTATTTCCTTTAGTTAAGTACCCCAATGTTATAAGTTCCCTTCCTTTTAGAACTTATTTTAAACAAGACACCTGGATATGTTTAAAAAGCACTTATCACAGCTAACTCCTCCCACGTTCCTCCCCACTCACCACCTCAAGTGGTCTGGCCTCCCCAGTCACCCCCCTCAAGGGGTCTGGCCTCCCCACTCACCTCCTTAACAGGTCTTGAAAAAAAGAAGTCAGTAACCTCTTAGCTTCCGGGTCTAGACTATTCTTCACTGTCACAAAAATAGCAATACAGGAGTTATATGTACAATGTGTTATCAGCTGTTCTTGGCCACTGAATTATAACTAATACATCAACTAATTGTTGTTCTTTATGTCATTGGCAGCTCCTCCAAGATTTTCTACACCTATGATGAACAAAACACAGAATATCAATAGCCAGCTTGTTGTGGAATGTGGAGCTTATGGCATGCCTGTTCCAGATTATCAGTGGATATTTAATGGCTCAGTTGTCACACAGCATCGCAGCTTGAATTTGAGTTCTTTGAGACTTGCTGATCAAGGATTCTACAAATGCATTGCAAACAACTCATTAGGATCAGCTAATGGTAGATTCTACCTAACAATTCAAGGTGAGAAATACATAGTATTTACTAATAATGCTTTATACTAGTATGAAATGATACATAAATTTGATTCCAAAGTCGAACCTCAACTAACAGTGGAAAATTGATCTCTACTGCGCATCATTGGTCTCTGTTTCTGTTTGCTTTATTGACATATTTTAATTGTGTTAAGTATTTTTGCCTTTTTTTCTTTCTTCCAGTGCCACCAATTTTCACCATGTCTCCAATGAATCAAACAATTCCCAAGGGACAAACAGCCTCGTTTTCATGCTCGGCCACAGGAGACCCACTTCCTTAGATCAAATGGTTAAAGTCACAGGACTCCATCAGCAATGACTTGCACTTCAGTGTTTTACAAAATGGGACATTGGTGATAAATAGTGTTTCTGAACAGGACAGTGGTTGGTTTACTTGCCGTGCAACGAATGATGCAGGAACAGTACAAAAGAGGGCATATCTTTTAGTTGCTGGTATAAAAAAAATTGGTTATAAAGGTGCACCAAAATACGCTAATCAACGGGCAGGGTTTTTGCATTCTTTTTTGATGTCGCAAATTGGAAGTGGTAGTTTAGACCCAGGTTTCAAAGGAGGAAAAAAATACCATCACATACTCAAATGAATACCACTCAGCATAAATTGTGACAGCTTTAGATATGAATGTAAAAATCTGGCTTCCTGATTGGTGGATTTTGATCACATCTTACGAATACAGTTTCCTGATTGGGTACTTCCCAGACAGACACATTTACAGCTATTCAGCTCCAGTCTTAAGTTAGAGGAGCTCATATTTTCTTGATAAGTATTTTCTTTTTCAAGTACATTAATTAATTTGCTTTACTAAATGGTGTTAATATGGCCGAGCAGTAGTAACATGCGAAAAACAGAAGGGATACCAGGTAAAATTGTGGAAGGCTTGAACACACATTTCATCACGATTGTAAATGAAAAATATAAGACAAACTTGTACTGATTTGTGTCTAAGCAACAGCAGTTCATTTTCACTACGTAACAAGTACAGGTCTAAATGACACAAGTATATGACTACGGCCTTAGATTTATAGACACTTTGCTTAGAAGGTCCCCCATACTTTTCAGTGATGCATGATTGAGCAATTTATTTTGTCTTGAATTGTGATTTAAATTTTTTATATTTTTTGATTCGTGATTAAAGATGGTTAGATCTTTTCATGTCCACGTGGACAATTTTTTTTAATTGAAATGTGACCTGTGAAGGAAGAGTTAAATTAAACGTGATTCCTGAACCATTTTCTTCTGCGTAATTTTTTCTTATGTGATACGTGGTCGTCTGTTTTTTTCACATGAACCGTGAATGAATTCTGTATATTATCCGTGACGCATGAAAAGGCCAAATATTTTTACTTGACAGAGTTTTAGAAAGGGGTATAGGGGACCCTCTGCTTAGTATTATAAATATACAACCCATCATTCATTCATTTTTTAAATAAATCTCATTGTTATTCTCATGTAGATCTTCCTGTATTCACCATTGTGCCAAGTAACATCACAGCTGATGAAGGAAACAGAGCCACGCTGTCGTGCCGTGCCAGTGCTACAGACAAGCCACAAATTACTTGGATGTTGAAAGACAGCAGTGGACTGGTCACCAACATTGTACCCACTGCCAGTATACAGGTGGATCCCAGTGGGGACCTGATGTATACAAGCGTGAAGTCAGACAACAGAGGAGAACACATTTGTAAGGCTTGCAATGCTGCAGGGTGTAAAAGCGTTGATGCCTTTTTGAATGTCTTATGTAAGTAGCTCGGGAGTTTGTGGAAGAGTTGTTTATTGTTGTTTTAAATATGTCTGAAAAAATAGCTGAGGACGATCTTTATGGACTGCACTAATTGACAACAGTCAAATGATATTGAACAACATTCCTTCCGGCCTCTCTTCCTACTTCTCTCCATTCTTGCCTTTCTCCTTCCTTTCTTCCTTCCTTCTTTGAATTTTTCGATATTTATTCGATTTAAATGGTGCACTTTCAACCACAGGTGGCCCAAGCTCGCAAATGAGCGTCCCTTGTACATACATTAGTACAGATAGTGCTCAGGTTACGCAACAGTCGAAATATAAGGATTTGTATGGGAAAAACGGTTATATTCTTAAGCCGAAAAAATTCGTGTAGTGCGATATTGTAGTCTTACATTGTAGGTGTCAAAGACTCGTTTATTAATACCGATCTTGTCATATTTTTTCTTTTCCTTTTCTCTCGAATCTAGTTGCTCCACGTTTTCTAGTCCCTCCCAAGCACGTGTACGTTCTCAAAGGACAAACGGCTGTTTTGGAGTGTAAACCAGAGTCCAGTCCCCCAGCTGTTATAACTTGGTTAAGAAATGGAGCAAACCTTCCTGGGACGGGAAACCAGTACAGTGTTAGTGACGTAAGGGCAGAAGATGAAGGGTCGTACACGTGTAAAGCAAGAAACAACCAAGGCTCAACTCAGGGAGTGGTTAAGTTGTTAATTGGAAGTAAGTACAGTATTTAACAGTCATTGATTCTTGTTATTAGAGCCATTTTAGCTGAGTAAAAGGAAGCTAAGGTGAAGTCTGCATACGAACAATGTAGCTCATCAGGCATGCGCTTATCTCTGGTTTCCGTAGCATGAAGCGACTAGGAGTATTTATACTCCCCCCTGGATGGGATGCTAGTCCATTGCAGGGTTAGTCCCTACAACTAGTCCCCTGAAGAGTTTACACGACGAGACTGGTCGCGGGGACTCGTCCCACGAGCAGTTCACACGAAGCGTTTTGAGGAGCAAGTCGCAGGGACTTGTCCCAAAAATTCAAACTGGTTTGAATTCGTGGGACTAGTCGCAGGGATTAAATGTTGGTCCCTGCGACTTGATTTTGAAGCAAAAATGGCCAGTTCACGAGATGGGACTTGTCCCCGGACTTGTCGTAGGGACTAGTGCCCTCGTGTGTGCCGACCTTTAAGTTTGCCGGTACCCATTTATACACCTTGGCGGAGAGAGGCACTGTGAGAGTGTTTTGCCCAAGAACACAACACAACGTTCTCGGCCAGGGCTTGAACCCGGACCGCTCGATCCGGAGTCGAGCGCACTAACCATGAGACCACAGCGCCTCAAAACAAGGCGCACGCTACAGAAACTACAAAGTTGTGATCATTTGTATTGTTTTGACACTCGAATGCCATTTGCGAATTTGCAAATTAAAGCATTTGTTTAGGTGTACATGAACGCGAATTACTGAGCACAATCTTTATGTTATTCACAGCTAAGGCAGAAATAAAAGACTTCAAACAGACGCCATCGCAGAACAGCAAGGTCCGTATGCAGTGCATTGTGGAAGGGATTCCTTCTCCTGAGGTGACCTGGTACCTACAGAATACGAAGCTACCTTACAAGCAAACGTTCCCGGATTATGACGTCACTTCAAACGATGTGTTAATCCTTCCTCAAGCATCTCTTGTTAATAATTCATTTCTATGCAACTGTACCAATCCTCTGGATTCAGTGGCACGCTTTGCAAGAAGTAAGTGCTTTTAAGGTATAAACTAGATGGAATTCTGTCTAAATTGATTGTGAAAAGTTCCGACTTAAGGACCCTCCGAAAGTACATTAGTAGGGATAAAACTCCACGGTTGTTAGAAAATTCTGAAAGCCGCGATACCCCGAAGGTACAACTAACGTCCGAAAGTAGCCGCCAAAAACATCACGTTCTGTTTAAAAAAATGAGTGGGGATTAACAGATAGATACCACATCTTTTGTAATAAACTAACCCGGCTGATGTGAACGACTTCGACCCTCTAAAATTAGGGCTCAAAACGCCACTTAGAATCTGCGGACACCGTATACAACTGCTTCTTAAGCTGTAAAGTATATACAGTATACACTGCAAAGGACGTATACTGATTCCTTCTAATTTTATTCAAAGCAAAGAAAAACACCTAATAAATACTCTTAAGATAGAAATTGTGTGGCATTTCTCGCATTAATGTCACTGACAATTTTATCAAGTTGGATATTTTTTGTACGGTTGACGTTTTACTTTTCCGAAAGTAGCGAATCTCCGTAAGCAATGACCCTCTGTAAGTAGCGATAGGAAAGGGCTGCCAAATTGGACGAGAGAAACGCCAAATTCACTGGGAACAAGGTTAGTTTCTTTCGGAACGTTACGATAGCTAGATGATTCATTCACATACCATGTGCTTTGGGAAAGGGTTGGGTAGCAGTTTTCGCAAGGTCTCAAATGAATGGCTCCATACCCTTTGAAAGAACAACAGAACAAACAGCAGAAACAATGTCTCTATGACGACAGGTAGAATAGTCCATTTCCGAATTACCTTTAGCCTTTTTCTCAAAGCGAGTCTTGGTGCCCATCCTTTCATATGAAAATGAGATTTAATTGATATGCAAATTAAACTCACTTTCATATGAATGGTTGTGCGCCAGGCCTCGCTTTGATAGAGAAGCTTAAGGCAACTCAGAAATGGGCTATTACAAGCTTACGCTTCCGTTGGGAAGGCACATGCCATGTGCTTTTCACTGGGGATGAAAGTTCTGGATCTGTTTCTCATTTCAGTTCCCGAGGCACCGTCACAAGTTTCGGTGACTACCATCATGGAGACATCTTTACAAGTGTCATGGCGTCAGACCGATCCTTTGGAACTCATTCTTCAATACATGGTGCAAGTTAAGTCCGAAGCGGGAGACTGGGAACAGGTTAATGACACCATACAAGGAAGTTCAGTTCTTGTGAAAAATCTAAACTCGTTCACTGGTTACAGCTTCAGAGTGAGGGCTAAGAATGGACTGGGAACTAGTCCCTACGGTCAACCGTCGCCAAATGTAACTACTCTGGAGGGAGGTATGAGGAAAGATTTTCATTGAAATTATATTTAATATCTGAGAATCAACAGTAGTAGGAAAAGGCCCTTGCTGCTATTTTTTTTTTTTTTGCCATATTCACTCTAAACATCAATCTTTGCAGTTTCTCAGATTTCATCACAAAAATTGAATTAAGTCTTGTAGGAAATACAATTGGTAGAAGTTTGCATTTCTCGCACACTAGTACTGATAACTTTTTGTCCAGAAATTTTATAATATTCTACAATTTGTTTCTAGATTTTGGCCCTAGGTTTCTTGCAAACCAAAACTTTTGAAGGGACTAGTTAAAAAGTCTCATTACTTTAGTGAGTTTTGAATGCCTAGAGAAGAAAACGTTTTGTTGAGTTTTTTGATTAAAAACCAATTTTCAGCTACTTTTTTCGCGGCTAATAGGCAAATGAACCCTGGTGTTCCCTGAGAAGTCTTCTTTAACTTTGTATAGTGCTTTTTTTTAAGTGTTGATCTTTAGAACATTTTTTTTGCAGCCCCATCACCTCCAAGGGAATTGAGATTGACTGTAAAGAGTGCAAGTGTTATTCTTATGTCGTGGACCAGACCGAACGTTTTAAATGGATACCTCAGGACTATTCTGTACAGAATAAACTACACACCTGTTAACGGGAACACCTCACGGGAGTCTTTCATCCAACACTCTTCCTCTGGAAGCCCACATAATTTTACTTTGCAAGGCCTGTCCCCTGACACGGTGTACAGTATTCAAGTTTACGCCGGAAGGAGAAGAAATGATGGCGTGGAACGATGGAGTAAAGAGGTTTCAAAAACAGCGACCACCCTGCAGTTAGGTGAGAATAACTAAGAAACTTAATCGGAGATGTCTTTTGAAGCGCCTCGTGAGTGTGTAGTTCCCGGGGGGGGGGNCTGGGAACAGGTTAATGACACCATACAAGGAAGTTCAGTTCTTGTGAAAAATCTAAACTCGTTCACTGGTTACAGCTTCAGAGTGAGGGCTAAGAATGGACTGGGAACTAGTCCCTACAGTCAACCGTCGCCAAATGTAACTACTCTGGAGGGAGGTATGAGGAAAGATTTTCATTGAAATTACTGAGAATCAACGGTAGTAGGAAAAACCCATGTTGCTATTTTTTTTGTCATATCTCTGTAAACATCAATCTTTGCAGTTTCTCAGATTTCATCACCAAACGTTGAATTAAGTCTTGTAGGAAATACAATTGGTAGAAGTTTGCGTTTGAAACACGAACTTTGACTGTACTTAAATTTTGTGGGTTTGCTGTCAAGTTAAAGCAACTCGCACACTAGTACTGATAACTTTTTGTCCAGAAATTCTACAATTTTGTTTCTAGATTTTGGCCCTTGGTTTCTTGCAAACCAAAACTTTTGAAGGGATTAGTTAAAAAGTCTCATTACTTTAGTGAGTTCTGAATGCCTAGAGAAGAAAATTATTTGTTCAGTTTTCTGATTAATAACCAATTTTCAGCTATTTGTTTCGCTGCTAATTGGTTAATGAACCCTGGTGTTCTCTGAAAAGCCTTCTTTAACTTTGCGCAGTGCTTTTTTAAGTGTTGATCTTCATAACATTTTTATCGCAGCCCCATCACCTCCAAGAGAATTGAGACTGACTGTAAAGAATGCAAGTGTTATTCTTATGTCGTGGACCAGACCGGACGTTTTGAATGGATACCTCAGGACTATTCTGTACAGAATAAACTACACACCTGTTAACGGGAACACCTCAAGGGAGTCTTTCATCCAACACTCTTCCTCTGGAAGCCCACAGAATTTTACTTTGCAAGGCCTGTCCCCTGACACGGTGTACAGTATTAAAGTTTACGCCGGAAGGAGAAGAAATGATGGCGTGGAACGATGGAGTAAAGAGGTTTCAAAAACAGCGACCACCCTGCAGTTAGGTGAGAATAACTAAGAAACTTAATCGGAGATGTCTTTTGAAGCGCCTCGTGAGTGTGTAGTTCCCGGGGGGGGGGACTCTCATAAAAAGGACGGTGGTGCTCGTCGTACTTTTAGGAGTTAAAAAAGCGCATTTGGTTCCTCTTAGGGTTTTCAGCCTCAAAAGGTCCACGGCGAGAGCTTTTGCGGTGCCTTTTAGGTATGATAGAAGATAATGTGTTGTTTTAGAGTTGGTACTTCTTAGGGGTGAAAAAAATTTCAAGCCACGCACGCAAAACAGGATTTTTGTACCTCTTAGGGGTTCTTTTCAAAATTTCCGACGAGCACCCCCGTCTTTTCTATACGGGAGTCCCCCCCCCGGATAGTCCTAGTATTGCAACGTGCTGCAGATTGGTTGCTAGTTAGCAATTAGATTATGAGCTCGAGATGCTCCCATGTGAACTGTCACACACAGAAAGCGAGAGCAAATAATCTAATTGTCTCAGGATAAATCTATTAAAGTTACAGCAAATTATCTAAATCCTCGAAAACTCAAACAAGCGGCCGCCATTTTTTTAACAACCGCTCACTGCTAGGCTACTCACTATCTATAACAGGATAGATAGTGAGTGGCGTTTCCAGTGAGAAAACGGCATTCGTGATAGAGCGGGAGTAGACTTGTACTAATTCAATCTAGGACACTTAGCTGCCCTGTCTATCAACTTGAAGTTGACAAAGGTAAATTAACTGCGGTAAAGGCTTATCTGGGGATGTTGAAGTGATATAGTTCTGTACAGTGAGTGTTTTCTTTTCATTTTTTCAGTTCCCCTTACACCGCCTTTGGACTTAACGGTTCAGTCTAATGGAGCTTATCAGGTCATGGTCAAATGGAAGGTTAGATATCATAAAATATTTTACCACCAATAATAGCTGATGTCAAGGAGTAAATCATGAAAGGTGGATAACGCCATCCACTAAGGCCCAGCTGATCAAAGGGTAGACAGACACCAACTGAGCCGAAGTAGTTACAAACACTTTATAAATTTCTGTGTGTTTATAGGTTCCTTCTTATTCCATCGCGGGTTACCATATATGGTATGAACAATTTGATGGCAAAGCTGAGTACAAGAAGGTAGTAATATCCCGGATGACAGACACGGTTTATCTGATAACGGGCCTGGAACCTGGTACAAAATACGAAGTGAAAGCCCGGATGTACAGCAATGCAGGGATCGGTCCGTTTTCGGAACTACAATTTGCCACAACTTCTGTTGGTAAGAGAAACTTGGTTGACCAAAGTTAATTTTACTCAACGCACATTTTATGAATTCTAACAGAGACGAAGTCAGCTCTTTCATGTTGTTTTCGGGGGCAAAAAACTTCCTATACGAAGCATTTCACTACACTCTTGGCAATCTGTCTCATTGGCTAACAAGTAGTTTTATTTGAATCTGGGGTTCTTGCAAGATCTAGTTGGCAACTTGACTTATACCACTGGAAACCGAACAATAATGGCTTGATTTTGTCGAACAGAACTTAACAAATGATACTAACACATTAGTGGTAGTGTGGCCTCTATAAGGTGTTCAGTAAGTTGGGGTGCAGGGCGTAAAATGGCGCAGGAAAAAAATAGGGGATAGGCACGGAGCGGAAAAGCGAGAGAACGCTCCTTGCATCAAGCCTCTCTCTCCTCTATTTCACTCCGTCGTTTCTTCGCGGCGCCCTTGGCCGGCGCCCCTACTAACTGAACGCCTGGACAAGGCTATGGAAAATGAAAATGAAAAACGATGTCGAGGTTTCCTTTAAAATTTCCCTTAGTGTTTCTTTCCAACATAAACAACACGGAGCTTTGTTTCGTAAATTTAGGGAATATTTTCCGATTTTCTTTACTTTTCTTTTTTTTCAGATGCTTTTGCGGTGTCGTCAGAACAAAGTGGTGGAACCCAGTCATCCGGTTTAAAAGTCGCCATTATCTGTTTTTTGCTTGGTGTTATTCTGTTACTCGTTATCATCGGTTTTGTTTGTTTTAAACGACGGCAGTCCAAGCGTTCTCGTAAGTAGCAACCAGCAGTAAGTGATGATTGACACTGTAAATTGATTTGTCATCCGATTTTCCGTGTTTAAAAATTTACCGTACTTTCCTTCTAATCTCCTCTCCGATCAACTGTGTTTGGGAGTCGGAAAGAGTACGGTGGAAGTGTGGGAACTGGGGTGAAGTTCCCAGACTCCAACAGGATCTTGTTCCCAGGTTTTTCTTACCACACTTCCTCAAAAGCGTGTTATACCAAATTGTTCTTCATCTTTTCATTTTCAGGTCAGACTTTCCGCATTGATAACCGAGAAGATCCTTCTCTCAAATACGTTGTCCAGTAAGTGCTATGGACAAATACTTTGTACATAATAAACAATTTTTGGCGAGACCAGGGCTTTATTTATAGTGTTTAGTCGAAATTACTTTGGATAGCCTTCAGCCTTCTTTGGCAGTGCCCGGAAAAAGGTTTGAACATGTAACAGTTAGCTTGGGACGATCTTTGGAAATCTTCCGGTGATAGTCGGAAGTGTTCATAAATTCTTCAAAATCTTGTTTGAAACTCTTGTTGTTTACATCATAAGCAAAACTGATAACACATCGGAGCAGGAAGGTTTCGTTTTTTTCTCTTCACGTAATTAACTCGATATGTCGCTCATTCACTCGTGAGCTATCAAGTTAAAGACCCAGTTTTGACCGCAATGCATTGCGCGCTGTGCAGCACTGGAACGCAATAGAAACCTCGCTATCATGTAAACCAGCACAATAACAAATACACGTAAAGAATGTGGCAATACTGGGTCATTAAGTAATGGCACCTTTGCACGCCCTCCTGCAGTTTTTCTATACTCTAACTGTGTTACGCGCGTTATTTCTAGACAGAGGAATACAAGCACTTCGCGATCGCAAGCATCTACAAGTGACAGCAGTGAAGGAAGCGTGGAGGGACAGTACAACTTCGCCGCTGAAGATGACGAGATCGACGAAGGAATGTTCGCTGGCGACAGGAACTCTGGTAGTTATCTTCAGGATCCTGGGCTTCGTTACCTGGACCCGGCTCAGTTCAATCATGATACCCCGTCATTCCTCGAGCGCAGCGTGGATGACGTCATCCGTCTTGAAAACTACAAGCCGCGGATTAGTCCCAGTGCTTCGCGCAAAAACGGCGCAACGGTATATGCTGACGTAGAAACAGACGACCTCAATGACCCGTCCAAGGGCTCTGACGGGGTAACCAAACCTGGACCTTCGAATGATGACTTACTCGGTAGTGAGCCTCCTAATTGGGTTCCTCCACCACCTCCTGTCAATATGAAAGAGCCTCCAGTTTACTCCCCAGAGGATGAGAGCAGAGGGACTAGTCCGGACAAATTAGTCGGGGGCTCTGATGAGACTAATAAATATTGCCCCTCGGCTGATGGACCTTCGTCCAGCGAGGGCCCTTCGGCAGGTGACTTTGTTACTCTTCGTGAAACAAAACCCCCGCAATACCCCCAAGGTGATCATTCGGCTAAAATGAAAAGCGAATCGACCGCTCAAGACAATTCTGTAGACTCTGCTAAAAATGAACCTTTGGCCGACAGATCTTCATTTCATTCTGAAGACACCTCTGAAGACGACGATACGATTGATTGGCCCCCGCCACCCCCTCCCCCGCAGAAATCCTCGTATCAGCCTGACGATTCTGACTGGGAACGACCCCTCCCTCCTGAAATTATTGCGCTTCCGGGAAAAAGAAACCGCGTTGCATCGTGGGCGCGCGACGAAGCTGAAGGCTCGAATGATTTTGACGATTTGACCAAGATTTGAATTATATGACGGTTTATCTCTTTATTTCTCAACTCACTGTTTGCATTCCGTTCGTATTTACATATAAATGACAGGCTTAAGATGAAACTTCCAAGTAAAGGTAGTAATCTTAAATTAATGATGTGTACAAGTGGGTGGGATAAGTAGATAGGCGCATTATCTTTAGAGTATTTTTCTAGCAATCTAATTAAAAGACAAAGAAGTTTCAATCGTTTTAGCTAGCACGCGGAAGTACTTCCTCTAAACTTAACAGCGTGTAACAAGGCTATCTACCCTGTTTATTAAGCGTCAACAGGATTTAAACGTAAGCCGGTCTGAGACCAACTCCGTCCAAGAACTCGATACAATATTAAGGGTGTAACTGTCTTGTACTTTTTTTGAGCAGTTTTAACGTTTTTATGTATCCATTGTCAGCATTTTCAATTTTCAACGTGGTGATATCACAGGATTACTGTATCGCGGTATTTTTAATGTCTTCAATTTTTCTTTTATTAACATGTTTCGTAGCAAATTAAGGGTTGAACCATTTGACTTCTGAGGGGGGTGGGTGGGTGGGTGAGTCGGTATAGTCACGATTTTTTTAATCCTTCCATGCACTAAGAAATTTTTTTTCGGGACGGGTGTATGCGTGAAATATTTTTACTTTTTTTCGGCTCACAGAACGTGCAGGAAATTTGTTTCGGCAGTGGTCGTGTACATGAAGTATGCTTGCAGGATCTTTTTTGTCAAAATCACCACCCCCCTTCAAGAGTCAAATGGGTCATCCCTAATAAGGGCTTAAAGGTAAAAGGTAAAGTCTGCATGCGAGCCAAGTGGCCCATCAGGCCGGAGCTTATCCCAGTTTCTGTAGGATGAAGCGACTAGGAGGATTTCTACTCCCCCCTGGATGGGATGCTAGTCCATCGCAGGGTTACCCCCAGCATTAAGTTAATAAGGGCTTATTTACTGACAAAAAATTAATAACTTGTGTGACTTATACGGCCGCAGAGGCCGATACGATATTATTTCTAATATAAGAAAAAATGTAATTAACTGAAATATTTAACATTTTCGCGTAAATTTAAACTATAAATTATTTTGGAATTTTACGGAAATTTGTTTATACAGAGTGACGTATCTACCGGTGCTGTAATAATTAGGATAGTCCTGGTGACTTAGTTTAGTTTTTTTCTTTAAAGCCTATTTTGTAAATACAAAAGCGAGAAATAAACGATGCTATCTCTTTTAAAACAGTTTTGAGAAGAAGTGCCTTACGCCCAAAAGATCAGTCGAGTTCCCTATTAAATTATTATCCAAGTTAACACACCATTTTGCTCCCTTGTGGGGGCAAAATTGGCCGAGTGATCACTTCTTGCTCCACAAGGGAATGGAACTAGGAAATATTTTCATTAGCAAAATGGCCTATTCGGTCATCTTTCTCTTCTTGAGAGGCTCGATGGAGAAGTCCGCTGTAGGATCTGAGTGCAGGCGAATTTCTTTTCACACTCGTTGGCTCGCTTCGCTTGCTGATTTTTTTGCCGCCCTTGCCGGGAGCCTCGCTCGCAGGCCACCAGGCGAGGCACAAAAACAAGCGTTGTCTTGCGCCTGCAGTGACTTTTCTTAGCGGATTCGCCCTCTGAAGAAGAGAGAACAGTCATCCTGCTTCATGAACGTTTATGATGCCTTGGTCGTATAAATGGATTCCAATATCTTCGAGATAGCATTATGTACAGTTATCACTGGATTTACTTCCCTTTTCATTTGATTCGTTGACGGATCACTATATCACCTCCAACCAACAGCCGACAAAGAATGTTTTACTCTTGCGCAATACGCCGAAAAGGGAATTTTACTGACATGCGTGCGTTATACAGTCCGACTTTGAACTTTGGGTCTGCAAAGACGGTATACCGTTTTTGTTGGCTAGAAATTGGTTTTATTTAGCGTCCGAGTGCCATCGATCACTTTAAAGCTTATCACCTCAAGTTTCCTGGGAAATATTGATGTTTCCTAATTCCACATTCTGCACTGCAGATTCTTTGTTCATTTCTGCCCTTGTAGAAAGGTAGCTGCTGAACTCTCGAGAGTCTTTTGACGCCAGTGGACACAACACCCGTTTCATTCCGTTGCGAAACCGCTGATCTCGGATAGCGTAGATCACGGGATTCACGCAGCCGTTCAAAGTAGTGATGGTGAGCACCGCGTTTAAAGCACTGCTAGAGAGTTTCCAGGACCCTTTAGTGGCCATCTTAGCAACAGAGCAAACAGTGTAAGGAAGCCATGAGATCACGAACGCTCCCAGCACGATAAGCAGTGTTTTCATGGCCTTTGTTTCCATTACTCTTTGGCCTTGTTCGCTGGAGCCAGATGTGTTCACCGAATTCTTTTTGATGCTCTTCACATGGTATCTGGCTACGAAGAATATCCTACAGTAACAGTAGACCATGCACAACACTGGAACAGCAAATGGAAAGAACGCCAAACCGAGAACGTACACTCTATTCGCCAGTCCCTTCGCGCCCCAGTTTGGACGGCAGGTGGAGGTCTTGGGATCATATATGACCTCGCCCCAGCCAACCTGCGGTGCAAAAGCCCAGAAAATGGAATGGACCCAGCCCACCAGTAGTGCCAAAGCTGAACGGAAAGTGGTCAGCGTAGTCTGGTACCTAGTAAGCGGAAGAAGGTGGAAGCTGATTGGACAAAAGTGTATTTTAACATATGGGGTCGCCGGACTCGGTTTGAGCTATACGTAATTTAAGCTAATTAAAATTAAGTGTGAACGGGTTTTGCTGTTGCTGTCGCTGAACGTAATCTGTTTACCAATGATTGCGCATATGTTTGATACCATCATTACGGAATCAGACGAAAAAGACTGGTAGCAATGATTCAGCTAAGAAGAATTAAGTTCTAAAAAAGGCTGGAAACCGCACACACCTTAAAGTGTTTGTGCTAAGCAAAGTTTAGTTTCTTACCCGAAATTCAGAAAAGAAAAGCATTACAAGGGTCCCCTAAAGAACTGCAAATGCTGCAATAGTCAAAAATTAAATTTACACGAATGAGTTCGGAGAAGCTTAACACTTAATTGAATCTTCCTGCCGAATTTCGCACGAAATGGTGTTTCCGCGCCAAATTTATAGGTCGTTTCAGAAGATAAAGAAGAATTTCTTGCCAAAATAGGAAGTAAACGACAATGTAATTTGAATAATGACCTCGTACTCACCAGACAGGTGCGGTGACCGTTGATTTGCCCTATGCTTCCGCACACGCCTGGCCGAGCGTTAATTTCGAACACTAGGAGCCCATGAAGCTCTCGTCGGCAAACACTAATTATTTCTTGTGTAGTACAATTTCTTCCACTGAGCTCTTAATTTTTTTTTTTTTAATGTATTGTTTATTGATCAATAATTCATTCTATCACCTTCAAATAAAATGTAGTTTGCAGTACGGTGATACTCGGTTTGGGAATGAGATGTTGCCCATTTTTAATTATCACTCTCGCGTACTAGGATGTCTTCTAATTATCTCTACAGACAACGGTTTCCGGTTACTTTTTGAGTGAAAGGTAAGAGAAGATTTCCTTCCGAAAACGGGAAGAAATTGTCACACCGGATATTTGAGGCACTGTCGGAAAACCTCACGTAACAATCGCCAACTTCGAACACAATTGCCATGAGTTTAGTCAGAAATACTTTGACCGCCCCTCAAAAAAATATAGCGGTTGCTTGATTTGTTTTCAGTGTCCATTTTAAATTCATTTCAGGATTCAAAACGAACTAAGCAGTTAATTTTCACTTCCGTTGATTGACTAGTATTATATTCGCAGATGTTTATGTATTTACATTCACATTGATGTGCAAACAATTTTCAAGAGGAAAACATCGTAAACGTGTCTTCCACTATGATTACTGGTCGGGTTAAAATGGGACATCCGGACGGGCACTCAGTTCAGTGACTAATTGTTAAGCTTGAATTTCCCCTTTATTAACAATTTTTTCAGCTTTATTTCTCTCCAGGATCCTTTAATTCTCCTTTTCACGTTAACAGGCATCAAATTGGACCTGGCAGGAGATTTGCTCGGTCAATTTATTTTCGTAAACGAACGCTAAGGGTCCGTCTCAGCTTACTACTGACTACTCTACTGAATGTCTTTTAACCGTATACAATACACCGATGAAAGTCGTCTCAAAAAATTCTGTACATGCTCTCGATTTTTTTTTCAAAATTATGACCAATGTTACGAATATAAATATTGCGGTGCAGTGTACTAAAAATATACATTTTTCTTGTTTTCAGGTACAGTTTCCGAGGTTTTCGCTCACCGTTAATTTCTTTAGATCAGTTTCCAGCAAAAGTTTACTGTTCTCCGTTTTAGCGATTGCATAATTTTGGTTATTTCCTTTCGCTGAATTATAATTCAGAAATATCCCCATATCATTGAAAACGGATAATCAAACAAACAATAACCTTTGTTTTCCTTAATGGGAAAGGATATTACTTCAGGCACCCTCTTCACAAATTTTCCCCTTTATGTCTAAATTGTCATTGAAGTTGTTAACGTTCTGAATTGCTTTTTCAGTAATGCACTTTCTCATTGCCCACGGTATGATAATTTTACTGTGCATGTTTGCAATCGTGAAAGCGTTTTCTTTGTGTGCGCTAAAAACTGTAATCTGTTGTGTACAGCTCCGCAAATACATTAGACGCCAACTACGAAAAAATAAAATCTTCCTTCCTCAGTTTTTCATTTAATGGTGTCTTGATTTTTATTTGAACGTGAAAATTGTCAAAATTGCCTGAGGGAATTATTTTTGTCATTAAGAACGTGATTATCAGTGAAGTCTGATCAAACATGATTTAGTGCAAAGTAAACGATAAAAATGCCTGGCCTATCGGGCAAAAGTACAACTCCATTTTGTGGTTGACTTACGCACACAAGATGATCCGAAAGATTTAGAAACAAACACAACACTTGCTAAGTTAATGGCTTCTTTTTTAGCGTTGCTATTTTTTTTTTTTTTTTACATAAACTTGTTGGATTTGCAGTTAGTTGGAAGAGTATTTGTTTCAGTCTTACCTTAAAGGATCGGTTATCGCGAGAAACCGATCTACACTCACCAAACAGAGTGTCATGAGAGAGGCGTTCAGACTCAGTGAAACGAACGCCGCGTGCCACCCGCACCACGCAGTTGACATGTACCACTCCTGAGCGAGCGAGGACGCGATGTAAAATGGAATATAGATGGCTCCTACAAGAAAATCCGCAGATGCGAGGCTTCCGATGAAGTAGTAAGTCGGTTTGTGAAGTTTGTGGTTGAAGACCACGATGGCAACCACGAAGGTGTTACCCAAAACGCTGCCAATGCTGATAAATACTAGCAAAATTACTTGTATGTACACCTCAACATCACTTCTCAATGGAGTTGTTTTTGAGGTGGATTCAGTTGCATTCAGCTGGGTGTCCTGTGTAGTGTTGATCATTTTGTAAACTTCCTGGCTCTGTTTCACTCGACCGTTGTTTTCCACAGCAGTCCGTGACCCACTGGCTCGACCCAATCAATACAGAATGGATCAATTATCTAGACCCGGCGACTATGTTTGCAGTTTTCTGAAAAGAAAAATATTGTGTTAATGTTTGCATGTAATTAGCATAAAAATAGGACATTTCACTTCGCTCCTGGGTAAATAAATTACAAAAAATGGGAAAGAAATTGTTTGCTAAGTGCGCTTGAGCAAGGAAACATGCTCAGTTCTCCTTGAGTGGCAGAAAACAGGGGAGACAGTAATTGTCAACTGTTTGTAAAGAAAAAAGGTGGGTTTCGTTTAAACAACCAGGATATAATTTCCTTTTAAGAGGACAGCTGCCACTCGAGAATATATAATGTAAAAGAATAGCCTGTGGAAAAAAATCTGTCGAATCTCGAATGATTCGTTTTCAAAGGCATACGAAAGATGAAAACAATTCGGCTGAGAGAGAAACAAAAAGCAACGCAAGAGTCAGTTAAATTGATGAGTAGTTGAATTCACGACTCAACCATTTTCTCATTAATCGAATTCTTATTTAGCTGGAGTTTATCTCCTGCGGAGTTCGTTCAAATGATTTACAAAAGTCATGTTCGCTTTCCGGCTTGTCTACATCAGGACAACTCATCCACCTGCCATCTCCCAATGAATGCGAGCTCATACCATCTGGAAGATATGTTTTTACCAGCCGAGCTATAGTTACAGAAAGCCTGAGAAAATTCGGGTAAAAATAATAAAAATATCTACTGATTAAAGACTTAAAATTTAGGAGAGGGCAAAGGGTTAAGAAGGGGGAAATCTGTGACAGTTTTAACACAACCATGAGAGTCCAGTGAGAGGCGCCGACGATATATGAGTTCATTATTTCTCCGCATTTGGTTTAAGTTTCTCTTGATATTACTTTTTTTATTACCTTACATTCCCCCTGATTAATGTTCACTTGATATTTTGAAACCAAGATGTTACCTTTTTTGACAGAAGTTTTCATATGATGTGACGAGCTGCAGACAAATAGATATTAGAGCACTGTATACAAGGACTGAAGGCTAAATTTTAATTTACTTTTGTAAGGTTAACCTACAGCTTAATGTCGCTTAACGAATCGTAAATCCTTGGTTTGACGTGGAAGTTAACTTTCCTCCGAAATAGAACGTTTTTGCCGTGATTAAAATACTCTTAATTCATGTGCTTTCGTGAATGTTTTTGATGCGGCGTGTAAACCGAAACACGGCTAGATGCGTTTTGAAATATAACAAGTTCGTGTTGTCTTCCATGCTAAGATATTGCCAGATTTCGTAGAGCCATACTCTTATAGCTTGTTAGTAAAATTTCCTTCTTTGATCAAGATTGTATTAATGTTAGTATTAGTATAGTATTTTTATAGTTTTTTTAGCAGTGTCCCCTAATTAGTATGGTGTATTATTTCCAGGCTATAAGGTTTTTGACTCTTTGATAAAGATCTCACTCACTCAGGTGCGAAGTTATGTCCCCGTAAAAAAAGCCCGAAAATTTTCCTATGAATGTTAATTAAACAATGTAGCAAATGGAAATAAATCAAATAAACAATCCACTGGAAAAAAGTGAGCTTAAATTGTTGTCAATGAAACAATGGTGAAATTAGAATGACAACAGAAGATGAAATCGATATTTTAAAACACACGGATTTGAATGCAGCCGCCTCAGTATTTTCACTACAATACAGCGGCGTTTCTAAGCTCGCCGAACATTGAGTACAGTGCAAAGCTTGATCATTAGAACGATTTAAAAATGTTGTACCGCCCAGCTTTCGAAGCTAGAGGCAGTACTCTTGATGTATTTTTGCGAGCGAAATTTTTATTGAGAATTATCCTAAGAATCCTTTTCAGATTAAACAATGCGCGCTATTTTAATCGAAATCCCAAAATTATGACAGCTACAAGCAATTTCCTGATGTGATACTGAAATAAAAAAAAAAATGTTTAATTTCCGTTCAATAGAAAAAGAGAAAACAGCAGTTTCTATTTGCGGCTAAATACGTGCAAAGTTTTGTTCGCTAAAGTTTCTATCCTGCGTATTGATTTTAAGACTTTAAAGATGGAAAGATACCTCGTTTTTACCAACAGTATAGGTCAGTTTTTAGATGGTTTTGTAAGACTTGATACCTGTACCCTTTCAAGACTCTTTCTTGTCATGAAAAATTCGGACTCACTGTTGTCGACTGTGTTGACCTGTGTCAAAACTAACTAGAGTATATTTTGAATATCGTGTACAGCGTCAACCCGAAACTTAAACCGTGACAATTCAGCTTGGTTTGTTCAACGTTTCTGACAGGTCGGCTGGATACAATATTTTCAAATTAATCCCTGAGGTGCAAACTGCAAAGAATAGAATGTCCTCTTCTTTTAGCATTCAGTTTTAAATATAAGGGTAACAATTTGGTACACGTTAATTTAAATCAACAGCATTAAGGTAGGATTACGTACCTGTTAATAAGTGTATAACTGTATAGCGTTGCGCGTTCGAGCTGTTAGCTGCAATGAACTGCCAGTTGTTGGTGTTGTACTCTAGCCCTTGTATCTGCAATGTAACAAGGAGATGTTTGTCTCAAATATTGCACCTGTTCCATTACTACCTATTAGCAATTCGTCCCCTAGGCGATATGCGAGAATGGACTGAAAAGTAATTACCGGGCTTCTTCCACTTATTACTTTTAGAGTTTTGAGTCGCTTTGTGGCGCATTGCCAACAGCAACTGTAAATAAACATTGAACACTTCACTCACGCTTTGAGGTTTAAAATGTTTTTACGCTTCGCAGTACAACAGGATGATTAATCGCACATAGGAGACAGAAGCAACGTTGAACTGTCCGTTTAAATTTAAAGCCTCCCGGTCACTCTTTAACGGTGCAAAAACGTTGTTTTTTGCAACATCTTTTGATGAAATAGATAAAGCAAATTGTAACGTTAAGTTGTTACCACTCTGAAATGGGACATTTCAGTTAAGGATCTGGGGGAAATTTAAGATTATCAACATATGGCACACTCTCAAAGTGTTATCGGAGATTTTTGAATTTGAAAAAGTTTTCTTTTACAATCAAACTCCAAATTAACACCGACCCTTAACATCATGTTTTAATCATGATATTTAATTTGTGGAAGAAACTGATTTCATGTTGCCGACCAGTCGAGGCCGACAGTGAACAATTACTGCTTTTCCAGCCGTCTAAAAAACCGCTTGTAATCAAAGCTTTCACAAACGTCTTTAACGTTTCCGCTAACAAGAGTTTTAAAGTTATTAAAAGGCTTTAAGCGTTGCAAAAATCCGGCATTTAATTTCATACGTGCGGGCAGGTTTTCCGCGGTTCTTGACTGATATAAGACTTTCTTTTTATCAGATTGGAAACGTAGTAATTGAAAGAGAAGATTTTTTTAATTTTGAAGAGAGCAAAATCAGTGTTATCAGTTCTTTCTTTACATTTCCTGAAAATCAAGAGAATATTTTTTTACACGAGAGTACACCTTTCATACAATTCTTAAAATTGTGTTTTGGAAAAATGGCTTTACATCTAGAAGTTCCTCCTCCCTCTTTTTTCACCAGATGTTTCACTAGTAAGTTGAAAATAAAAGAAATTCAATGAGTTTGTTGGTATCTAAGGAATCAAGAAGGAACTAAGAGTAGGGCTGGGCGCTTTTAGAAGTTACAATCGTGAAAATGAGTCCGCGCGCCTGCTCTCAAAGTCACTCGGATCACTCCGAAGTTCCCCGATTGGGGAACGTCGGCGGACAAATGGCGCCTAAATTACAGTCACGGAGAACCTGAAAACCACTCTTAAGTTTTTTTGAAAGATTGTGTGACATACCGTGATGGCCAAAAGAAACAATTCCTGGGACTTACAGGGAGGCTTAATTTGCTAAGAATTTATTGGATACTTCTGAAAAGTTAAACCTATTTGTAGACCAAACTATCAGCTCGGGAACGCATTTTTGTGCTGGAACCCATTCCTTCAGGGCCAAGACTGTACTTCCGAGTAACGCCTGGCTGTAACTGCATGCCATTTCAAAAGTCGAAATTTCTTTTTAGCTGATCCGATTATTGCAAGCAAATCATGAACGTTCAACTTCTGCAGCGATCTACTTCGTAGCGATTGAAGTTGCAGGGATGGCGTGAAACAATCAACCAGAGAAAACTTATTCCAAATTCTTTACATTGAAGTCTGGTATCCAAGCATCGGGCCAGTAACCGGCTTAACTAGTGCTACAGATGTTGTGGAAAACTTTGACTGCGAAATGGCGGCAGCGAACGACCTTCTCTTGTTTATTCCCTGTTTATTTCAGCTCGTTATTCTTTGTAAGGCTAAAAGACCAGGGCCTCGAGTTGTTCTTGATATCCCAGTGGATTTTCATCAACGCGTCAAAGTTTACGACGATTTTGTCGAGATCATCGAAGCCCCAACTTTTGCAGAAGCGGAGTTTGACATTGTTCTGTCTTACAGGACTAGAGAGGCAAGACTCTTATCAATCGAACTCACATCAATCGGAATAGAGAATAAACAGGGTCACGAGTTTAAATACGTTGTTATTGTTGCTCAGCGATCTGAAGTTACACAGACGTTGCGTGTTAAAGTTGGCCTTCGTGATTCAATGGCGTATTTAGAAAACAAAGCTCTTGGGATATTTCCTGATCTTTACATCGAGCAAATACATGTGACCGTAACATTAGTCGATCTGCTTCCTGGTGGATTGGAATCGAAGCCTGTTTTAGCTGGGGATTTTTTACGTTTGCCATTAGTTCCTCCGTGGAGTAGACCTCTTAAACCTGGCTTCAGTTTTCCATGGCCTTTGGAACAGTTGATAAAATACGATCCAAAGAAAATCGAAAAATGCCAGCATCTTAAGGGTAAGTGAGAAATTAAGCCACTTGACAGATTTTGAGTTGAATTTTAACAAATAGATTGTTCAACTCAATTAAACAGGAGAAGTGATATGAAAACGTTAGTCATACCACAGAATTCTTGCTTAAAATTCACGAAATTGTAATATTGCTGCATATGTGTGTATTTACCAGTTTCCAGTTTTAAGGCTGTTTATTATATGATGGCAGCCGATTACAGGTGATCGCAGGCAGTAGAACATTGTACTATTCTCGGTTATCGCCTAAAAATAATCACAGATGATGGTAAGGGACCACAAGTGATTGCACATGATTGTTTTGGCAAACTACATTTATTTGGCCAAATTGGAACAGGCTGCAAACCATTTTGTTTGTTTGCAATCGTGGAAACTTTGCTAAACAAGTACATCTACTGAATATTTAGAAGGGGAACAGGCATAGATGTTCAACCTGAACATCAAGAAGATTTTAGGTCTTAAAACATGTAAATGAAAATTATTTTGACATAGTGTGTTTCTTATGCTGCTTATTTTTTCTTTTTAGGGGGGGAAAGCTTGAGTACTCAGGTGTATAATAGTGACAGAGAGTTGCAAGTAAGGAGAAACATGTTAGACCCCCCCAAAAGAAAAATTCCTATTGGACAAAAAGGAGAGCCCAAGAAATTCCAGTGGCCCACAATGTACTGTAACACTAAAAAATAAACACTAAACATATATTATTTGGAATGAAAAAAGTACTCTCAGGGACACTTTTTGTCAACACCAGTCTTTGCAAAATCTTTCACCACCAAAAACATTACCACTGACAACATTACTTACCAGAAAAAAGGCCCTAGATCACAGACTAATAAATTCAAAACCCCCAAATGTCTTTCCTACCTCCCATCACTGTTATATCTGTTAGTCCCTCACTGGGTAATAGTGGCTTCCTAATTAATACGTGTTGCTTGTATGAGATTTACCTTAAGCAAGGTGAAGGTAAAAGGTAAAGTCTGCATATGGGCAAAGTGGCCCACCAGGCTGGAACTTATTCTGGTTTCTGTAGCATGAAGCGACTAGGAGTATTTCTACTCCTCCCTGGATGGGATGCTAGTCCATCCCAGGGTTACCCTCATCATTAAGTTCACCAATACTCATTTATACACCTGGGTAGAGAGACACGCTGTGAGAGTAAGGTGTCTTGCCCAAGAACACGATGCGATGCCCTCGGCCAGGGCTCAAAACTGGACTGCTTGATCCAGAGGTAAGCGCATTAACCATGAGGCCACCGCAGCTCCCAACCTAATGCCAGGATAAGAGAAAATTTTCAAAGCTCAACAGTTTGAGTGTTTTTGTTTGCTTAACAGACATTGTTGACTTACTGACATTTCCTGTGGCTTTAACTGGAAAGGAGACTGGTGTGAAAAGGTACTATTATGGTCCCTTTTTGAAAATTGCTTTAATATATATCTCATTAACTGTACTTTAGTGTGTACCAAATATGGTACTGTGCGATCTCCAATGTTACCATTCTTCTTTGTCACAAAACTTCTCAACAATCATAGACCAAGATTGAAGCAATCACATGTCATTTCTCCCCATTTAGCCCAAGAATCTTTAGGTTCTCAATAGGTGCAATTAACCTTCACCTTCTGAGACAACTCTTAAGTCCAGAATTTTCTATACTGAAAATATAGCCTTCTCAATAGGATTGGTTTTTATCCAACTGTTGGGTAGAAATGGCATCAGTCTGGGGAGGAGGATACTCTGAAAATCATTGGGTCGGGGTGTGCAGCTGAGACACTGAAACTCTTACCTTATACTAGACCAAGACCAGCTTGATTTTGCAACCCTATTGTAGACTAGGCACCAAAAACCCCTACCCTGTACCAGACTAGCTATGAAACTTTGTCACTATCATAGTCCAACATACACTTGTCTAAAAACCAATATCTTACAACGTTGCTTTCAAGTTTCAAGAAGTAACTGATCTTGCCTATAATTCAAGACTGTTCTTTTACGACTGATTCCAATCTTACCTTGAACAACTGCATTGATTTTGACAAAAATAATTGTTCATCAATCTCTCAATAAATTACAACATATAATACTTTGTTTGTTTTGTTAGAGTTCTACCACCACTTGCATGGCCTAGACAAGAGTTAGCTGAGGCATACAGCAGGACAAAACCAAGGTAAAAGACTTTATAATAGATGTGCATCTGCCTTAAACATTGGTCACACTGCCTCTTAAGATTAGATGTAAAATAATATTTTAATTTTCTTCTTAGGTTTACAATTTCAACATGGATATTCATAATGGAACCATGTCTTGATGGTCTTTGTGGAATTTTTAATCACAGGAGTACAGCGCTCCTGACGCCGTTAGTGAGCATTACATCAAGTGGTGAGCTAGCTAGATCATTTAGTACTGATACAGCTGTTTTGTTTCAAGTTTATTTACCAAATCTCTAGTATGAAGGCTCTTTTGGACATGCATAACACTGTTGTTTAAGATATACATGTTAGCCAGTATGTAGTGTAGACCTTTGCATGCATAGGGTCGGACTTTTCAAATTAAAATAAAGTAGCTGAAGGATTTCGTAAAGTAGGAGGAGCACTATTCTGTCAAGATGGTGGTGGCCTTGTGGAGGAGAGTGCCAGAGTGGGTTACTCCCTCCTGCATGGTATACAAGGTGCAGGCCCTGAAAAAATTTTGAAAATCTGTTTATCTTGAGGTGCAGTCTAGTGCATCTGTAGCAATGGCATGCATTATTTTCTTCAAAGTACCCAGGGCAAATACTTGAGGTAGCCAATAAATTGCATTGGGTGCCAGCTTATTTAAAAAACTTTGATTGGGTGCACCTATCCCTTACATGCATACAATGGAATTGCGACTTTTTTGTCGTTTCCGACCTCTCAGTCAAATTGAATTCCGATTTCTCGAACTACCCACCTTTAAAAGCAATCTTCATTTCCCCTGGAGGTTCAAAAAAAGGGGATTCTGCTGTATTATTTTTATCAAATGTCATAGGCACGCAAAGTGTACAAAGAGTAATACTGACCTATCAAATGCTTATTTTCCAACAGGCCTCCTTCATATACAGGTACAATACACACCTGACATGGGTCATGCATTTATCATCAACAGTCGCTTGCCTCTTAAAAAGTGGTTACAGATTGTGATGTCAGTTGATGACACAACCGTTCATGTCACAATCCGACATTTCAATGGTCATGTTTTTGAGAAAGAGGAGAATGCTGTGCATGGAGAGTAAGTTATAGACAACTGATAGCTAAGATACTCAGTAACATTAACTCAGCCAACTGAAGTACAATTCAGAGAGTAATCAGACATGCTGCCTGAGTCTTATTTGGATATTTGGATTACAACCATGATTACTATCTGTAGTGAATTATATGATGCAAGGTCCAATTATATTACATCTTATCAATAACAAATTTTAGGATTAATTTAAAAAGTCTTAAGTATTTTCCCCTGGCAGAGACATTTGTGTTGTGTTCTTGGGCAAGACACTTTACTCTCACAGTGGCTCTCTCCACCCTGGTGTATAAATGGGGGGTAACCCTGCAATTGACTAGCATCCCATCCAGGGTGGAGTAGAAATACTCCTAGTCATTTCATGCTACATTTCATTTCATGCTACAGTCATTTCATTTCTCCTAGTCATTTCATGCTACCGAAACCGGAGACAAGCGCTGGCCTGATGAGCCGCTTGGCTCACATGCAGAATTCGCCTTTTACAAAGTATCCTCCCCAAGTCTGACAACCTATAGAAAACATTACTTAAGGAGAAGTCATTAAAATGCATATATTTGACGTGCATATGGTGTAGGTGTCCAAATGCAGGTATTCAGTAACAAAACATTGTAATTGGTTGTCTGTGATTGAAAGGAGCATGGAAAAAGAGTCTAGTAAGTGACATCTGATATACTGCAAGATTCTCTTAGCAAATTACAAGGAGAATTTGACATGAGATCCAGAGTCATCATGATGGTTTTCCATGCACCCCATCAATGGGTAAAAGGTAAAGTTTGCATATGAGCCAAATTGCCCATCAGGCCAGAGCTTATCCCAGTTTTTATGGCATGAAGCAACTAGGAGTATTTCTACTCCTCCCTGGATGGGGTGCTAGTCCATGGTGGGGTTACTCCCAGCATTAAGTTCGCCGGTACCCATTTATACAGTTGGGTGGAGAGAGGCACTGTGAGAGTAAAGTGTCTTGCCCAAGAACACAACACAATGTCCCCGCCAGCACACTAACCATGAGTCTACTGTGTTTCAATTAGAAACCCACCTAATTGCCCACCAAGAACTTGACAAATGTGTGCAAGTAGAACCAATCTCAATCAAGAATTTTGTTTTAGATACATTAAAGTGGGTAATAGTATTATCATTAAGAAAATGGACCATCTTTTAATTCCAGACAGTTGAACCTTGCTACATGTACACTGTACCTTGACCAGCTCAGTTATCCCGGTTATTGCACCAGTACCAGACAGCGGTACACTAGTTATAGGCATGCGTGGCCTCTGCCCTCGTGCTGTTCTACTCGTGTCTGAGAGCCCGCTTGTTCTGTTATCGTCATACCAGTTTAATTAAAACCTTAGTTGTGTTATGAATTGTGTCATTGACTTATCTCAGAAAAGTGGAGATTGTGATTATTTAGTTCAGACAACCTCAGCTAATGGACGCTTCTTGTTGGCAGACACATCCTGCTTGCTGACGCTTCACACCTAGCCTCATACAAACACTACATTTTAAACCTCCCATGGCAGACACCTCTCCTTATGTACAATATTTTAAGTACCAAGAGTGTCCACTAACAGGAGGTTGGTCTGCCATTATTCTTACCTGGCAATTTTTACTCTTTGCGTAGTTTCCCGCATGGAACATTTAGTTACAAGGACACTGATGGATTTTGGGTGCTTGGAGGAACAGAAGGCTCAAAGACTTTTAAAGGGATTATTGGACATACCCGTATCTACAGGAGACACTTTTTGTTTCCAAACCAGGTACTAGATAAAGACTGATTTACATGACGGAAAATTTTTGGCATGGTTCTGATATAAATGGTGTATACCAAAAATGGCACGGCATGTAAAGTAAGTGTTTTAAAAAAAGAGTACATGGAAAAAAATGGCACGGCATAGATAAACTTTGTTGTGTAAATGACACGGATTTCCTATTCAGTGTGTCAGAGCTCGGTTAAATTTTGGTCCGGCATGGATAAGAAAAAGTTGTTTACACCAGCAAATTTATTTGTGCTGAACCATGTTTTTGGTACACATACTATTTATATCAGAACCATGCCACAAAATTTTTGACATGTAAATCGGTTTTAAATCACTTATTAAAATAATATGGAAATAGATGTATTAAAACAAAATGTTTAAGTTCTGTTGGCCATATTAATTCAATATGTTCTCTTTAAATTATATACCTTTTTTTTATTTTAGGTTTACTCTCTGCCCGAAGATCACCTGATGTTCAGCATGGGTTAGTGGATTAAATGAAATTTTGGATCACTTAATGTCTTAAAGGGAAATTATTTTATGACTATTTGATTTGATTCATTTGTTTCTTTTACTTTTCACAGCTCTGACAGATCATTCAGCAACATGCAGTGAAAAGATTGTTAACTTGCATGAAGCTGCTCTGGAAGAAATTGAGAAAGAGTCAGAGAAAAATGGTAAAACCGTACTAATAATAATGGATGTTGACTTTATATGACCTTAGACTGACCAATTAAATGAAATGGGTAAGGTTTTACTCAAGAGCAAGATGCTTCACTCTCAGATTGCCTCTCTGCACCCACCATGCATTGATAAAATTTTATCTGAAAGGGCTCTGACAAACTGTTGGTGTGCAGCAACTTATTAAAACTGCTGAGGGCTGGAGTGACTAGTATTTCATCCAAGAGGGTAGCAACACTCCTGGTTTATTGATACGGAACTAGAGTTATGTGCCAGTTGGATTATCTCATGTGGGATGTGAACAGTTATAAGACCTGAAAGCACATGTTAGTCTACGATGGTTCCAGAGGGGCACTCTACAAAGTTTTGTATGGGGAGGCTCTGCCCAGAGATCCAACCCCTTACCTTTTTGTATATCATTTTGACTGCAAAGGCACCACTTTTGTATGTGTTTTATTACAAAAAGATACACCTTTCACAGACCTAATTAATTAAGAACACTGCATCCCTTTTCTAAACCGTTGGGATGAAGTTAATAATCAATACCACGGGAGAACATTGATTTCAAGCATTACCATAGGAGATGGTAACCAAAAAACAAGTTCACAAGTTCATGCACTTTCACATTGTACTTAAATGACAGATTTCCCTACCCTTTTATATACCTCAACTTGTGAAATCCCTACCTTTTTATATAACTGAGGCCTGAAAAAGGTGCTGCTTTTGGGCAAAGCCTCCCCGTATACGTCATTATAGGGAGTACCCCACTCCCCTTGATGACGATATCTTTTCCCTTCTTTTCTAGAAAACTATGTGACCAAGCGTGAATCGCTGATGGATCTTGTACCTGCCCCTGACAGTCTCAACCCTCAATGTCAAGTTCCATTATCAGGGGAGACCCATGAGGTGGATCTCATTGTACAGCAAGCCATAAGCCAACATCACAATGATTTGAGATCTGTAGCAGACTTTTTGTATCAGCTGGCTTTTGCAAAATTGGTATAAATGTTGATTTAAATTTTTTGATTCCTGATTCATATAATATTGTGCTCAAGGATCATGAAATTAAATGCTTACTTTGAATTATAGGTTGACAACCCACAGGAGGCCAGAAAGGCACTGGCCATTTTGAGAGTGGCTAGTTGTATGGGACACATCAAGTCACAGTACATGACAGGGGTTATAAATATGATTGGTTTAGGTGTCCCGCAAGACAAGACCCAGGTATTTTTAACTTTACTGCAGTCAATTCTCTCAATAATTCACTGAATAAAGTTTTTTTTAAACATTGCTTGATTTGAATTTCAGTTTCTAATCTCAATACAAGCTCTTACATTAAGCATGAGTCTCCAACGATGTAGTTAGATAAAAATTTAGAATTCAAAGTATAATTAAATTAAATGTCTTAAAGTAATAGATGACCTTTTTCACATTGCCTTTCAAACTTACTTGCAGGGCTGGAAGTACTTGCTGCTTGGTGCAGCTAATGACAATGCTCTGTGTCAGATGTCTCTGGCATACAGGCATTTTATCGGGGCTGATGGATTGCATCAGGACTGTGATTTAGCTATTGGTGGGATATCATCAATTCATGCATTATCATAATTACATGAGATTATGCTAAATCTGCAGGTGTCAAGATTGATCAATGCTTCTCTTTTGTGTTTTGAGGATATTTTGCGAGTCAGGGAAAAGTCTGCGTTTGTTCTGAGTAAATTTAAATTTATTATTACCATGAGTCAGGAAAGTTCATTCAAGATAATTTGTTGGGTTTTAATCACGCATAATGTTTATAACAAACTTCCTGTCTTGGTCAATGGATGCCATTTTCTTCAAAAGAAATGTTAAATTGGCTTCTTTTCATTTCAGAAGTCTTGTTATTATATCATGTGATCACTTCTGACCAATGACATGACAGCAGATTCTGTGGCAGATTGTAACATATCGTAATTGTTCAGCACAAGTAATGCATCCTCGTGGAATGATCATAATTTGACTTCATTGATTTTCTGTTCAGGATATTACAAGGCAGCTGCTTTAACTACAGACAAGCTCCTGCAGGAGCATCAAGAAGTTAATGTGAGTAAAGTTGTTTTTTACACCTTGATGACTGGTGCACCCAATGGGGACCAACCATTGATTGGCATGGCCTTGGTGGGAAACTGGATAATTTTGATTGTGGCACCTTACATGGTCTACCACTGTGCACAGTATTGAAATTCAAAACAAACATAAATTAGAAATCTCTGCATGGCCCTTCAGGCTAAACTGGAACCCAGGCCTCTTTCTGTTTCACTTGGCTGTTGGAGATCTGTTTGTATAAGCCAGCCACACGGCTAATATAAAGCAATCAGGTATTTATATACTCTGTAATTCAAAATTAGAAATTCATTATGATGGTACTTATGCTGACGTGCAGTCTTGCATAGTTAGCCAGGTCATGGTCAGACAGAACTGGTCAATTAAGTCATGTTAATACTTCAGTGCCTCTGTGCTTTTGTTCCCAGACCCACTCAGAAGCAGTGCGTTTAGATGATTATGACGAACTCGCCAATCACAAAGGACAAGAGTCTGACATGTTCCAGTGGCTTACCCATCAAGCCTTGCATGGTTTGACAGGCGCTCAAGTGGGTTCTGTTGTTTTTAAGTCAAATTCATTATGTGACTCTCGTGCATATAATTGTTAATTTATGCCAATTATTTCAATAATTAGTGGAGCTGTTTCCATTTTATCTTCCGACCTTGTTTGTCTTGTTGCAAATGCAGTTTTACATTATTTATACATTCATTCGCGCAGATGTGCATAATTATGCAGGCATACTAATTTTGAAGGTATGTAAAGTTGTTTTTCAGGTTCTCGATTGAACTCATTTATGCTTGTTATTTGTATCGTGATGCGAAAAAAAAATACTCGAATACTTGAGGAAGTTGTGTTTAGTTTGCTTTGAGACAAATGCACTAACAAAGAATTCACCAAAGCAGCCGTTTTATTTTTCGTTTCAGAACTTGTTGGCGGAGATGTACTATTATGGTAAACGCGGTTTGCAGAGAGATTTAAACAGAGCTGTAAAATATTATCAGATGGGAGCCGACAAAGGAGACGCCGAGGGTCTCTACAACCTGGGCGTGTCTATGCTTAAGGTAAGCAACAAAGTGACCGACACTGTCCGAACACTAGTTACAACGGAACGGAAAATATCGAATATCGCATTTTCACGTAATGCAAATAATTAGCAATTGTCGTGACTTGTCAGTGGCTAGCAGATCAATTATTCGGCTGAGGCAAATAGCTGATCTGCGAGACACCCGACAAATCACGATATTTTGCGATAACCGAGTTTAATAATTGTGTTACCATTCAATCACCAAGTTTGTTTTCATATTTAAATCACTCTCTGACCGGCGTCGACAAAATCAGGATCGGACCGGACCGGACCGGATCACGGATCGGATCACGGATCGGATCACGGATCGGATCAAGGAAAAAAATTCAAAATTTTGTCGAGCAAATTGNTTAATGATAAGTCTGTTTAACATTCGTGCTCTTGAGGTATAAAGTTAAGCTCATTTCGTGTTGTTATTTACTTATTAAATATTTCTTTCTGATGTGTAATACGACTTCCTAGGTAAATACGATTAATTTCAGTCAGAGCCTCTTATATGTCCAGTTCCTGAAGTGTTGTTGGCAACATGACATGTTTGCATATCGAAATGTCGTAATAAGAAATAAACTAAAGGGCTGGTTTTCGCCAACGCATAATCATTAGCAACATACGCATGCGCAGTAAGATGTTGATAATTAGCGCCTTTTGTTAGGAAAATCACCCAACAAAAGCCACTTACAGTAGCTTACTACGCCTATGTATTTTGCTTATGCTTATGCTTATGTGAAAACCAGCTGTCTTAAACCAAGGAAGAAGTGTTATAAAAATACCTCAGCGGGTGCTTTCCTTATCAAAGTCGTTTATCTTTTGTTTTTTCCTATACCGTTGAGAGCGTGAAGGTTTTAAGCGCACTCGCCCCGCTCAGTTGCTTTTCATCAAGAAATTTTTATTTTGTGCTGTCTATATAGAACCATAACAATAACAAAACTCTGGGGAACACGAACTCCCACACAGCTTTTCTTCTTGCCCCTTACCTGAACAGTTTTTCTTAACCAGCACTACTCTTTCCGACTGACTCGTCACTACATCTGATTACTAAATTTTGTTCGGGTACCTTCTTTTGAAAATGACTGTTTACATCATGACTTTTCTGAATTCTGCACTTTCCAGTTCTTCGCTTTCTTTCAAGCTTCACTACTTTATTATATACACTCTAATCAAGATATCTTTCAAAGTTTTCTTTCAGCCAAATTGTACATCACTTGACGGTGACCGAGAACAACATCTTTTAACAAATGAATTTATCTTTGACTCATAAAAGTTCAATTATTTAATCTGTTCAGTGTGTCTATCAGTGCCAAAAGTGACCTTGAGTGCAGCTGAATGTAGAGAAATATGATTTATAAGCACAGGTCACGGTGTTTAACCATAATTCACATCGTTTGTAGAGTACTACTCAAAGGTTTTGTGCTGCTCATTAAAATTTTTGTTTGGTGAAGTTCTTAGCACCCTTTTTGCAAAAAAATTTAAAGCGAAGTAATGCTTCATTTATCAGCTTGAGTTTTTTCTTGCCTTGTTTCAGATTATGATGATGATGAATATTAGACAAAAGAAATTTTGATTAACTTTGGTTTGACAAATTTTGCAGCAGAAACATATTTAAACTAGAACAATATACTTTTAACCGTACCCAAAGAGGAGAAAGCACAGTATATTCAGCTTTGAAAACAATTGAACTAGCAAGGAACAAAACATTGGTTGTAAACGTAAAGTAAAATAAAATAATTAAACAATTAGAGCTTAAGAACGTTTATTCGAGAATTTTGTGGGTTATTTTTCATCGATAGAGGAGCAGGGATGGCTCAGTGGTGAGAGCACTCACCTCCCACCAATGTAGCCCGGGTGCCATTTGTGGCTTGAGTTTGTTGTTGGTTTTCGCCTTGCTCCGAGGGTTGTTCTCCGTGTACTCCGGTTTTTTCCTTCCTCCACAAAAACCAACATTTCCAAATTCCAATTCGACCAGGACAGAGGCCCTGCATGAAAACCAGGTAAGGCTGATGTGTCTTCCTCTCTAAATGTTGTAATTTATTTTATTTTTAGGGCCATGGAGTGGAGCAAAATGAGGAAGAAGCTATTAAGCTGTTTAAGCTGTCTGCAGAACAGGTGACAACTGGGTTAAATACTTTGTAAGCTTCACTGAGAAAACTAAAAGTGGCCATGCATTTCTATAACACTACATCAGATTCTGGGCCGAGAATTTTGATTTCACTTTTGTACCATTTCGGTGAGGGTTTTTGTTTATATTGTTTGTCCTTCAGAATCGCAAACTTTACAAAACATAGGCAGTGAATAAAAACATTTTTACAAGGCAAATTAATACTGGGTTAGCTGGGTTTTCGAGCAACCCTGTCCTGACTGCTGATTACTTTGTTTGAGAAAAAAATAGCTTTTTTGTTCCAACCCACTTAACTACACTGTTGGCGGAAGAAGCGTCTTTTTTTGGTCTCGTGTTTGGAGAAGCACTTGAAGAACTTCTTTCACCCAACACTTCACAGCTAGGATAAGGTGCATTTATCGTTTTTTCTCCTCTGGTGACCAGGACTTTCCGCCGGCTCTAAATGCCTTGGGTTTCTATGAAGTGAACATGCGTCAGAACTACAGTGGTGCAGCGGCTTACTTCAAGAGAGCCGCTGACAAAGGCGACCGAGATGGACTGACCAACTTAGCTGTGTCTTATGACAACGGGTGGGTGGAGGGACACCCACCTGATAAGGTTTGGACAATACGGAAATATCTGATTGGATTTCAAAATTCCTCTTGCATCATGTTCTGGTTAATTTTTGGAATGAGCGGGGCGCTTTCCAATCGAGAGAAAATTCCAGCGCAAAAATTTCGAAATTTTCTGGGAAAGTCTCCTGAGACTCCGAAAATTGTTGAATTTCCGAAATGCAAACCATGGCACGGAAATTCGGGGAAAAAGGGAAGGTGGAATGGAAGTTGTGCTCTTTTTCGGAAATTTCGGAAAATGTTGTTCCATTCCATACTGGAAATTTCCGAAAATTCGAACCGGAATTTTTGTTTGATTGGAAAGCCACACTAGCCACCATCTCCAACTTAAGATGTAGCAACGAAGACTCTGTGCAGTGTAGAACAACTTATCTTGACTCTGGAAAAAGGATTTTGTTTAACCTCTCTTTGGCAGAGAGAAGCGTTCAAGTATTGGTTCGAGGCTGCCACCAAAGGACATCCTGGATCGTGTCTTGCCGTGGGGGAGGGGGTCAGTAGTGGCTTGTACGTGGACAGGAACTGCCCTTTGGGGGTTGTGTAAGTAGCGCTATGGTATTTGGGAATTTTTCTGCGCTACAATTTTTTTTTTCGATGTTTATCATTGTTTACCGATTTGTTTGTCCTCGTAGATATCTTCGTTTCGTTGCCGAGCAAAATCCTGAGGTTGGATGGTTAATGAGACGAGGTTTAGAAGCACACTACCAAGGAAACATGTACGATAAATATTATTGGTCTGCCGTTTTCATCTTGGATTTGCTGGCTTGCTTATTCGCTGGTTTAAATCTTTACCCCACTGCAATTTCACAAGAATTGTTGTTCTTTTACTCACATTACACTATTTACTACCTAACCCCTTAGCAACTTTAAACCTTATTACAGGGAACACCGTTGAACTAATCAGTGCGCGCCTCCATATCGATTACTAATGTTCCGTCCACACTTATTTCTCCGGTTAGGCCTTCCGTCCACATTCATCCGTCACGAAAACGGAGCTTTTCGAAAACGCTCTTCAAAGCGGAGGAATTTGAAAACGCCGGCTTTGGGTTTTAGTGTGGACGGAAAACATCCTGAAAATAGTGCTTTTTGAAAACAATGGCGTGACGATAATCACGTGATTCTCCTGCCGGAGTATACCTCAATCTTAAATCTGAAATGACCGGTGATTGTTGCGGTTTTAAGTATTGCGGCGTATTGTGGACGGAAAACATTCGATGCGTTTCCAGAATGAAAACTCCGTTTTCAAATTCTTCCTGGTGTTGTGTGGACTGGGCGTTAGTTTCCCGAAGGATTTCTGGCCAATTTTATCCAATCAGAAAACAGAACGAGCGTCCCGAAAGTTGTGACTAACGGACCAACTCGCACAGGCGCATGTTTGAAGCTCTGTTGGTGTCGAAGTTGCGATGTTTTGGAAAAAAATAAAAGAACGAGGAAACGAGAAGTGAAAAACAGCTTACTCCTCGTCAACCCCAACATGTGATCGTTTTGGTGAACGCGTGGTTGTTGCTAGATAACGTCACGTATCGCCATGACGACTTGCAGTCGTGGCAAACACCTGACAACGAAGATTTCGCCGATACTTGTTTCCAGTAAGGCGAGCTTACTTCCCGAGAAGGTCCTTAAACTGCTCATTTGCTGCAACTCAGTAACTTTTATTAGTTCATTTTACGTTTCTTGAATTGTTGGCTTTTTATTTTGCTCTTTTAGGTACAAATCGTTAGTTAATTTCATGTTTGCCGCTGAGGTTGGCATGGAAGTACCTCTATACAATGCAGCCATGTTGTGCGAAGAAAATCAGGTTAGATTTGACTGCTTTAAATACTTAAAAGTCAGTTTAGTGGGTCCTTACAACACGAATCTTCTCAGCAAATCTAGGGAACGAGCGTTCATTGCTTCATCATATTGCTTGGGTCTGTTGTGATTGGCCATTGCACGAACGCATTCTGGCAGCGCCAAAGTTGGGACGAGAGCGTGAAAAATCGATGAAGCAGGGTGGTGATGGGGCGAGCTCGATCACCACCCCCGACTCCGTCGTGTTTTGCCTCGTCCCAATTTTCGCTCGACCAGACTTTGGTAGTTCTCCCTCTCCTCCGGAACACTTGCTTCGTAGGCTATTACAGTTGCTTTGCCCTTGGTTTAACGATACTTTTAATTCAGTTTATAACGTCATATTATTTTGGAATGGTAGGATAAGCTGAACAGTGTAACTGCAGTGGACTGCACGTGGCATTATTACAATCGCTCAGCTGCTATGGGCTGGGTCTTTGGTAAGAAAATTGCTTCTACGGTCTTAAATGTTCCACGTAACCTTCACTTCTGTGTCAAATTTCGAGTTGTAAGGAAAATAAGTAGCATTGATTTATGCTTTAGCATGCAACATCGAAATGTGATGAACGCGGAAAGTTTGGAGAGCACGAAAGAAGCGCAAGAGTTGTTCGAAGATCTAGCTTCTTGATTTTGATATCTTGGTTTTGTTTGCTATGTTATAAAGCATTTTTTATGTTATTATCTTTCAGCTATGGTTAAAGTAGGAGATAATCACTGGTATGGCAAAACTGTACCTCAAAACATCACATTTGCTGCTGAAATGTACGCGGAAGCCGCCTCCAAAAACGATCTACCACAGGTAACACTCATTAGTTCTCGTAAAAATACCTGAAGACTTTCCGAATTTTCAACCAATCAGAGATTTCAATCGATCAGGGATTTGAACGAGCACTCACGAGCATATAGTATGTTGTTACGTCGGGCTGACATAAGAAGGAGACATTATGTTACCTTTTCGACCAGTACACAGGACCAGCTGAGGCTGATGAAGTTTTAGGACCAAGTATTCAAAAAAAAAAAGCCCGCTTTACTGCTTACACATATAAATTTGTTTTGGTTCCAGGCGGTTTACAATTTAGCTTACATGGTGGAGCATGGCTATTCTTTGAAAGGAATCCAGTGGAACAATGTCGACAAAAATGATGTTCTACAGGGGAACCTTACGTTTGCTGCTTCACTCTACCAGAAGTAAGTCCCCTACTTCAAGACTGTTATTGCAGAAGGAAATTCGTCGGTGTTTAACTGTCTTATTTTCAACTGGTTCAAGAATGTTATTACAAATGGAAATTCGTCAGAATGAGATGGGGTTGTCATGAAACGCCTCTTCAAAACGTCAACGTATTTTTCTATATTGTGTTCGTTAATCAATCGAAAAAGCCACACAATAATTTATTGAAGAGGTAACTGTGAATTTGGATCGTAAAGATTTGTGAAGATTACAGACGGAAACTATTGTGTTGACGAGTTAAAACCACTTATGACATGTCACTTTTAAACTCGATCAAAATCTGTCATATCGAAATTTTATTACATAAACTGGGGAGTTTTGCAAGGATTTCCAGCCCTGAGAAAAGCCATAATTTTGCGTGTAAAATTGCGATAATTTTTCACTGTGATGAAATCGTTGGCGTAATGTTGATGTCATGGTTGACCCTTTCACTGTATTTAAAGCCGTAGGTGTATGATCGTAACATCTTCGGCGGATGTTCCTCGGAAGTCTTCGGCAATCTTCGGAAATTTCGGAAAATGTTCGGAAACGGTCATGGTGGCCTTCGGACAACTTTCGGATGATCTTCGGAAATCTTCGAAAAGTGGTCGGAAATCTTCGGAAAATCGTCGAAAACGACGTTTTTCGCAAGTTTATAAAATAAACAAAATAATACATTGTTGCTTGTAGTTATGGAATTTCTCTTCTCGTGTTGAACGTTCACAGCGCTCACTCGTGAGATATCGAGTTCAACACTCGAAGAGAAATTCTATTTCTACACGCGTACCCATGTATTATTCTCTGTTTCTCGTTTCTAACTCCTCGAGGACCATCCTGTTGTTATTCTAGATGCCGTGATGCTACAGAGAACAACAACGAATCTTTCCTACCCTGTGCGTTCGGTGTTGTGAGAGTCAAGCTGAAACTCTTTTGGCAAAACTACTCAATGTTAGCTCAGGTAAGATTTATTGTGTTTCTTGGTGTTTCTCCATGTTTTGGAACGTATTGAGTGTATCAATCAATCAATCAATCAATCAATAACTTTATTAATGTGTCAAATACATTCTAGCCGAGGATAAAAAACCCTCTGTATAGAAGCGACAACAAGATAACAGGAACAAAAACAACTTTAACAAACTATCTTTCCCTTTTTGGCGCGTAAAGCTGACGTTTTCTTTAAAAATATATTATGTTTAGCTTGAAAAATAGGATTATTTCACAAATTTTAAACAGATATTTCCATTTTGGCAGGGAAAGCATGCGCGCTGTTTGTTGGACCTATTACGACCAAAACTTAAATGAACTACTTCACATTTTGCGCATCTTGAAAAATTACCCTAAGTTTTTCAAGGTCGTCGGTTGTAATCGGTGGTCTTCTTCTTCTTCTTCTTCTTGTTTTTTTTTTTTTTTTTGCTCTTTTGTGTTTTTTCTAGCTGTGTAAACTACTATTTTCAGATTTCCTTCAAAAATAACTAAAAAATCTGTGACTGAGATCCTTTAAGGAAAGCAAATTCGTATTGAAGTTAATATGGTATGTGCGCTGGCTACCAATCACGCTTTAAAATCTTAGAAGGCGCGGATTTCTTGTGGTAAGGCTTGTTCAAATTGAAAGTTAACTTATGGAGTTTTGAATGAACTTTTGTTATTGTTGTATATTCCTAGGCATGTGTCGTGATGGTGACGTTACTTGTTGGACTATTGACAGTTTCGGTGTTTTTCTCCGATGGAAACGGGCTCTAGCATAGACCACTGACACAAAGCAGGATAGAAGTATAGCCAAGAGAACAGTGTTACTTACAAATAGATTTTATTTATTATTTCTTGGATACAGTACTCTAAGAATGGGCGTCGAGGAAGAATACGCCTTTTCACATTTGCAGGAAAAGATATCAGTGTGTTTAACTCCTTGTCACTGAATTCAGTCAAATGGATTGACTGTAAAAAGACAAACAAACAATGTGCAGCCAGAAGATTTTGCAGGCCTTGTCCTTACTACGCTGGAAAAATTTGAAAACCCAGCTTTGTTTCCACTGCTAGGCCTACCGTTCACACTAATCCGCCACGGAAGCGGAGCTTTTCGAAAACGCTCTTCAAACCGGAGGAATTTGGAAACCCCGGCTTTTCGTTTTCGTGTGGACGGAAAACAATTTGAAAACGGAGCTTTTCGAAAATGGTAATGTCACGATAATCATGTGATTCCCGGTCCAAATTTTCCTCAAAAACACATCCAAAATGACCGGTGATTGTTGCGTTTTCAAATTCCTCCGGCGTTGTGTGGATGGAAAACATTTGATGCGTCTTCAGAGTGAAACCTTCGTTTTGAAATTCCTCCGGCGTAGCGTATACGAAGTCTAAGGCGAACTTCTATTCCAAGGACGAGAAGCTGTAACCCCTACAAGAACGTACAGCAATACAATTGCTAGTTAGTGCATTGGTAAAAGCTTTTCCTCAAGAAGAGAAACCTTACAAGCTATAAAAGCAATATCCACTTTCATGTCTAGTTTTTCTCATTTGCACGAGTTGCACTTTCTTTATTAAGGAGTTTAAGTAACTACAACGCCGACGCCGCGGACAACGTCGATTGAAAACTGAATTTATATTTTACCTACGAATCTCGCGATACTCTAAAGTCATTTAGTTTGGTTCTCTTTGTCAAAACTATATCGAAACTAAATATGGAACACAGCGTAAAATTCGAAATATAAATTTTAAAAATTATCCGTCGTGGTTCATGTTCTCTACACAACGCAGAATTTGGTCATTTCACGCTCTTGTTTTACAGAGGACGGTAAAGAAATGTACCAAGAATTATAACGCACGTGCAAAGCTATTGTACTGCTCAAGAAACCTTTTAGTGACGTCCTAGTACCTACTGTAGGATAAACGTGGACGTGGGCAAATTTCGGGACATTTTGAAATTTCTACCGGAAATGTCCTAGCATCCGCGTTGAATTGTGTTGTAATGTAACTTGGAAAACTTAGCTGTGAAAGGGCTAGTGTTTCCACACGGTGCTGAATGAAGTCAGCTCATTTTTTTACTGTACGTATGGGTGTGTTAAAATATCTACCACATCGTTTGACTTTTCCTTTCCCTTCAGTGGCCCTTTTTCCTCTGTCTAAACTGGAAATGAAACGTAATCAGTTGACAATTGGAAACGTAAAATCGGACGTAAACAGCTCGGAAACAAGCCGGAACGCGCCTCGCAAACAGAATTAGAAACTTGTTTCACGGGATTAAATGTAAAATGTTATTTAATAAATATTTCATTCATGTGAATTTGAGCAATTCGAAGTATAAATGACTTCTATAGATGAGGGGAAGAGGGAGTAGTTTTCAAAGAAAATGTGGCAGAAGTTTTGATTGTTTTGAAACAAAAATCTCCGGAGAGTATGCGGACCCCACTTCTTGTTCTCGAAAGCCGCGGAAACTTTTCGGGTCCGTTAAGCCATTTATAGTTCATCTGTAGCTAAAAACGGAGAAGTGTATACGCCTGAAACTTTCTGTATGAAGGAAAACTCTGTTTATATTAAGAATACGTGAATAAAACAGCTATGAAATCGTAAGGTTCAAGATTTTGCTATGGCTTTACGCCGTGCGAAAACTTTTCGGCACCTTCGAGAAACGGGCCCCAGGCGACTGATGATTTCATAGTACAAAAGGAACCGAAGGGAACCAAAAAGGCTCCTCGTAAGGACGGGCCATTTTTCGCTTCCCCACCAAAAAGGTGGGGAGGGGGGAGGGGTGGCGGGTGTAAGAGTTTAATGTAGAAAAGTGGGTGCTATCTTGGTTTAGTATCACCCAACTAGTGGACTAATGCAAATCCTGCATTTTAATTGGCTACGCTACTAGAGCACTATTAGTAATAGTCCTCGAGTAGCGAAATTGGCGCAATCGAGCGTGACGCTTTCTTTCGTTTTATTCCCAAATAAATATTTCTTCAACTTGCATTNCCCTCAAGGGCCACGGGTCAATGGCCCATTCGGCTTCGCCTCATGGGCTATTGACCCGTAGCCCGCAAGGGCTACGGGTCTAATTGTTGAATACAAAGGTGGTAGGTGAGTGGGGAGGCCATCCCCTCCCTGCAAGTGCCTTTGGATACATCCACAACTGATTCTTAAATTGTCTTGGAATCACACAAATTCTACCCTCGATTATAATGAGTGAAATATATTGCTGATAGTTTAAATATTGATTGGGATCTCGGTAAAACCAACGGGACTTTTGCCTCTGTGTCAAAACGAATCATCGCGCGAAACCATTCATATGAATACACGTTCATTTTCATAACAATCAAACGTATTTAAATCAAAGGTTTTGCACGAGGCCTCGTTCTGAAAAAGAGGCAAACTGCAAAATCGGGAGTGGCCTATTGTATTCGATTAAATCAATGTCTTGGACACACCCAAAAAGATTATCATAAAATTAATTATACATTCATATTTGCATCACACCTCAGTTCAGTGTGACTTGTGGTCGCGGACCTGCTCGGCCTCACTTCTTCAAGCAGAAATTTATCTCCTGTTTGCCTGTTTCTGCCTGACAAATGTGGCTAGAAAGTTAATTGCAAGACACAAGAACGCCCGGCTTCAGTTGAAGAAACAAGACACGACGAAATAGCAGAACAGAGATGTCTTCACTTGAAGTAGGTGAAGAACCGTTGCTTAACAGCGCTCTTTCAATTCTCTCTCGAAGGTGCGAATTAAAGATGTCAGTTGAAACAACTTTTGAGATGAATTTTATATTATGTACGACATTTTACTACTCTTTCTGCTTTATTTCACACAGCTTACTGCAGATACTTTACACTCTACGCTCAACACTCTGGTAAGATTACCGTGAACTTTTAAATTCAATTCAAAGTTTGCCGAATAGGTTAGGAAAAATGTTGAATATTTTTATTACAAATTCCTTTCGCGTTCTTGCGGTTTACACGAATGATAGGATTTTAGCGTTACCCTTCAACCATTTTAGACTCGGCAAAGAACAGTATTTGGTCTATAAATCTGAAGGTGGAAACGTACTTTAACTAAGGGTAACATCTTCGTCACTACACCCAATTTTTCCTTTTGTTGTTATAGATTTCGGATGCCTTGTGCACGACCACTGCGCAACTGAAGAAGTCCACGAGTTTGCTGAAAGCCCTCTGAGTGAGGTAACGCTCCTTAAATTGATTTTGTCGATAAGTGGTTCTTGTTGATCACTAAGTGATAAAGAATTTGTTTTTTTAAATCTTCAGATTGACGTTAAGACCTGGTATAGCATGTGGACAGGAATAAACCCAATCTTAATGTAAGTGCTGCCGACTTAGAATTTTCATGTCTTAGCCGTCTCAAGTTTTCGCAAGTTAAACTCTAAAAAAAAGTCATTAACTTAAATAGTTAAGAAAGACTATCAGGTTTCAAACTTGATGATGAAGTTTTTGGTGTGGAAAGAACATTTGCCTGTGACGAGGCTAGCACAACTCACAGTACGTTTTTGGTTGTGCTGAATATTTATCGATGAAATATGACTATATTACAGGGTAGCTGGAATGTGGAGCAAGATTCACAGTGGCAAACACAAGTGGGAAACCAAAAGAACCCAGAAAAATGTAAGTTAAACTGACTTCACATTGTGTAGTTTTAATTGGGTGTGAAATAATAAATTTGCGAGGGGAGCAATTGCAAAAAACCCCTTTAGAACATAAAATGAGAGAGAAAATCGTACAATGTGAGCTAAGAAGAAAATAACGAACAACCCCCACAATCAGAATTTCTTACTGGGAAAAAATTTCCATCTCCGCACCCTTCAAAAAACCTATAATTATTCCCAACCTAACAAGTTTGACGAAACTCCTTGAAGAGGTCAGCCTCAGTTTTCCATTGTCCTTCTTTGTTGTACTTGTTTTCGTGAAACAACGTATATTGATCAACGTATTTTTTTTTCAATCTGCAGGATTGCAAGTATGAAAACAAGAACTGGGAATGGGAAAACGTGGAGCAAGCAATGGAAGTTGGCAAAATGTAAGTACATGTACCTCCTTTATTTGTTTTATTGGAGGAGTTGAAATCAGTGTGCGCCAATGGACACGCATCAAGCATTTTGGTAGAATTTTCACTGTCCTCTGCAAAACAACAAATTAATATCATCAAATTGTGTATTTAGGGCAATTGTAAAACCCAACGCTTTCTTTTCCACGCCAAAAGTCGTACTCAATTGTCTAAATATGCGGAAACAAAAAGATGTAGTGATCTACAGGTTTGAATCTCTAACGGATCTTTGTCTGATTTTGACCAACAAAAACTGGAAAAAACTAAATGGAAATAAGAAAAAATTATGTTGTAAGAATGAATTAACAATGGATCGTGGGATCAATCATCATCGAGTTTTTGTTTCTTGCAAGTTTTTGTGCTGTAGTGTAGTCAATTAAATTTAAGAATTGTTTTCCATGATCGAGACTTGAAGTTGAAAGAATGCGAGCGTTTTCAATTTAAAATGCAACTATTTTGACTCGTAATGGAAATATATCATGTAAAAATGATACTTATTCAGCCTGGAATCAAAACTTTATAAACGGACAATGAACCCTTCAAATTCCAAATCGAATGTTTTCTACTTAAACGGGAACTTTTTCAACTCAAATGCAAGGTTATAAAATCTAAATGGGATTAAAGATAACTTTTCTAAGTAAAAATAGAGATTGATCAATTGAAAATGGAATTCTATTCAAGTCAAAAGATAACTTTTCCAAGTAAAAAGAGAAAGTATCAACTCAAAAACAAACGCTTGCACGAAAAATGCAGCTTTTAGCTTTAGCAACCTTATAGCTGAACTCGGAATTATCATAATTTACAGAGGAATATTGAACTGAAAAAGATGCTTTTTCAGCTCGTAAGAGGACGTTTAGAGTAAAATGTAAACCTTTTTAACAAGTAGTATTTTTTCAAATGTCAAGGAACGATTGTAGCTGAAAGTGGACCTTTGCTACATGAAAGTAAAACTATGAAATCAAAAATAGAACCTTTTCCAAATGACTGAACTTTTCCAATTCAAATAAAACGTTTTCAACTAGAAAAGATGGCATT